ATGTCCCTGGAGACCTTGTTGCCTCTGTACCTGGTGCTGAGCAGCTGGCGTCCTCGTTTCCTTTGACTGAGGATATGGTCCTGGCTCAGGACTCCTTCAAAGACTTCTCTTTGGATGGGTTTGCGCCCCTAGACTCAGATGCGACTGAGACTGTCAGTAGTTTGCCAGCTATGGAGGAGGGCCCGATATGCCGTGAGCGGTCAGCGAGGTTGTTGCTTTCACTTCTACGCCTTCTTAACGCTTCAGTTTGGAAAACGAAGCTCATGTGACACGTCAGCGTCGCGCATCTTGCTACCTGTGACTTTGGGGCAGCGTAAAATTCCCACGGGCATCTTCACATTGAACGTTCAAGGCGTACCTCCGCTCATAGGTGTCAAGACTCTTCGCCGTCTACGAGCTGTGCCGTGCTAGATTGCCGTCGTGATGTCGGTGCTAGGTGCAGTTGACCCCAGCTGAGGTGTGAGGTACGCCGCAGCCCTTCTGGTCGTCTCCTTCTTTACCTGAGGCATGACCTGCTGGTGCAGTCTTTCACTTGGGTGCAGCCTAGCAGTGGCGGAGCTTCGAGCAAAACAGAAGCAACTCTTCATCTCATCGGTAGGGTAGGTGTACCTGCTTGAGAACACAGAGCTTGCAGACAGAGCCAAGTAAGTTGCGTCAGTTTCTGCTCCTTCATGGTAGCGAACCTTCATCCATGGACTGGGGGCCCGAGCCGAGTGAGGGCGACCTCATGCCCTCTTGCAGGATCATTCTTTCGCTACTTGCTCTTCATGGCTGCTGTGCCAACTTCGTCTCCGGAAGGAGTTCTGATTCCTGCGACGGCAACCTGGGAGCTCCAATTTGCCGGAAGGGAGAACAACTCCTCTGCCCAAGATGGGCTGTGACGGGCCCCAAGCCGAAGGCCAAGACGGGAGGTGGAGGCAGCGGGCTTCTACCGCAGCAGCCCCTTGGGTCAGACTAATTCGGCTAATGAGTGGCGTGCCAGCGCTGCAACCTGAGCTCGAGCGCCGCGCAGAGCGGGATGCTGCAAACTTCATCGTTCGCCGAAAAACTGCAGTCAAGCAGGAGCTGCCAAACCTTAACACGCTGAAGGACAAGGAGATTGGTTGGGCAGCAGCCGGGAAGAGTGCGGAGGAGAATCTCGAAAGGATCCGCCGCACTTGCCAATCAGCAAGTTGCGGCATGGGGGGGCCAATCCGAAGAGCAGCGGGCCTGCCGCCTCATCGGCGCCTCCAACTATTCCACCAGGCCTGACTCCAAAAGCAAAGCAGCAGTTCCCAAGGCTCGCTCCGAGACCTCGTCGTCTCTTTCTCCCAATCTGTGGTCATCGATGAGGCGCCGGAGAGTGGAAGCATGAGCGCTACTTTGGGTCGGGAAGCAAGCCGCCGTCAGGAGGAAATTGTCGAGGAGTTTGAGTACTCCCCGAGGATTGCCTAGCCGCTTCGCTAGCTGGGCAGAATGAGAAGATCCAGTCTGTGGAACTTGCAGCTGGAGATCTCTTTCGGCGTCCGTCCAGTGGAACTTCATATTCGAGGTTTTTTCGATGGATTCTATGGAGTGACTTCTCCTGTCTCTGTCATCTCCTACGGCCTCCATGACCAACTCAGTATGGTGCTTGCAAGGGGCAGGGGGGGTTCCGTATATGAATCTCGGCCTATATGCACGTGGGCGCTTCTCTGGCTTGACCAATCTGACACTCAAGTGGCCTCACTTATGCGTCAGTGGGCTCCTCCTGGCGCTCAATGGTCTTCTTTGAGCATCCTGTTCAATATCGAGTCCAACCCCTGCCGGGATGTCCACAACCTCAAGGAGCAACCTCAAGGACAAACCGAGTTTCCTTGTCACCTTCGACGAGCCTGAAGCTTCGGCGGTGTAGGAGGATTTGGAAACTTTGCGAGCTTCTTCAACGACATCTTCCCCCTAACCCTAACCTTTGGGCGACGGAGATCCGCTGTTCAAAGTCTTCAGGACTGAAACTGAGCCATCTGATGACTCATGCCGGCAAGGAGGTGAAGACTTTGACGTCGTCTGATGGTTTCGACTTGGGCGCGACTGAGGGCTTTGACAAAACTCAGGGCCCAAGAACGACCTCCCTGGCTGATCTGCCAGGTTCCAAAAGATCCAGCGCGCCGGGGTCTTGAAGATCGCACGGAGTCAGGAGGTTGTTCAAGCTTGGAGAATTTGAGCGCCAAAAACCTGAAAAGCTGACGGACAAAGTCCTTAAGATCCACTCGAGACTACGGCGCCCTTCCAATCGCTTGTTGGTGAAGAACTTGCAAGCCCGTGGAGCTGACCCCAAAACCATGCAACTCAAGTGCGACGTGTGCAAGGCATCAAAGCGCAGACCTAGCACGGTCTGACCGACTTTGACTTGCAGATCGACGTCTTTCATGAAAAGAATCGGTGCTCGGGGCTACAATTGTCTTCTCATGGTGGACGAATGCTCCTGCTACGCGGTGATCCGCGTTGTGTTTGATCAGCCGCTGGATTCCGGTGGCAATGTGACGTCCGAACAACTGTGCTCTCTGCTGGAAGAGGCCTGGGCGCAAATTTTGGGATGCTTGAAAAAAGCTGAAACTTGATGCTGAAGGCGCTCTTTGCGGGTCTTGGGTCACTGACTGGCGTGCTCAGCGTGGTTTGGAGCTACTCTCCGCGCCCGCCAAACATCACGAATTCATAGGTGAGGCACGAGGCAAGAGGCGCTAGCGGAGCATTTGGTCTTCCTTCACTGTGCTGTAGGCAGGAACAGGCCAGGCCAGGCGGTTAGACAGCAGCGGTTGACCGCTTTCTCCAGGCTGGGTGTGGCTGCTGCAGCAGGCGCTCCTTAGCGTTGCGCCGGTCCAGGCATTGGATTCTCGCTAGTCAGAACTCACATCAGTGTGAGTCGCTCCTCTGGGCTAGTTGTGATTTATGCCAGGGTGAGGCAATCTGACGTTGACCGAGCCGTAGACGGGATGGTTTTGTGGAGTGCAAGGTGTCCAACCGAAAACAGACTAAGGCCGCAGCCAAACGCAACATGTTGTGTCAGCCAGTGGAGTGGTGCAGAACCGTGTGCAGCATGGGGCCTTGCTGCCTTGCCTTGCTAGGTTCGCCTGAGCAGTCCCCGACCCTGCTGGAAATGACTGTAGACGGCTCGCTCCACTCGCGCAACCTGTTGCCTGTTGCCAGCTGGCACGACTACGTCGCAGCGGACGACCTGTGCAACAGGAGTTTACGCAGTTGCTAGGCTACGTGCCTGTGCTGCCGCAGGCTGGAAGCCATGGCCCATAGCTGAGGAAGCCTGACTGGTCCGCCCCTATGGCGCACACTTTCAAAGAGAACGGTGAGCGTCGCAACAGCAGCGTTTCTCATTCACTGGTGATTGGAAAGTGCTTTGACCTATCGAGAACCAGAATCTACCACGAGTGCCAAGTTGTCGAAGAAGGTCTCCCTGAAAAGAAGTGGGCAGGAGCCTGCGCAGCCAGTTCCAAGCCCAAACCCAGAAACAAAGTGGGATTTCCGCGCAGCCACCGCTTCAGCCCAAATCCTCTTTCCTGCATGGGTCGGTGGGTAAATTCTACCGATGATGATATCAGCACTCTGTGCAACATTAGTGACAGACACAAGGGGCCCGTTTTCTTTCATCATGTTTCATCAGGTGTTGTGTATTTTCCCATGAAGCATCATCGTTTCATTTTTTCGTTGTTTTTAGGCAATTTTCATCATTGTTCATTCAATACATATCCTCTCTCATCATTCACATGATGTTCAGTGAGTATTCGTCAGCCTCATGTTTTTGAGCATTGCTCATCATTATTGCCATCAAGCATCATAAGTCGTCATTTTCCATCATTTGTGATCCTTCTCCGTCATTTTTAGCAGCTTTCATGATTTTGAATGGCTTGCCAGCACGTGTCGGCAGAATTCATCATGTTTAGAACTGTCAATATCCTGGCGTGGCGTGGCGTTGGCGCGTGGAGCGTCCTGAAATTCTGGGTGCGCACGCCACACGCGACCCTTTCCGTGGGCGCGGCGCGTCGACGCTGGCGCGTGGAGCGGCTTGAAACTCTTAGCATCAGTGAGGACCTTCTCGGTGTTCTCGGCACGTCGCGACGCCGTCGCGTGGAGCATCCTCGAAATTCTGGGCTTACGTGGCGACCCTCTCGTTGTTTTCGGCGCGTCGGAGTGCTGGCGCGTGGAGCGTCCTGAGAGTTCTGTTCGGAATCCTTGCTTGACCTTCAAGGAATCTTTACAGCCGCGGCTAGCCAAATCCTTTACAAACGAGCTTAGGAAAAGACGCCTTTGGGCCCCTAGACGTGTTTTTTTTTCCTTGCCGTGGCTGTAGTGAATTCTTCCAGCCGCGTGTAGCAAAACCGCCTCCGCCCCCTTGTTTTTTTTCCTGGCTGTGGCTATAGCAATTCTTGCTATGGCAGCTACAGCCGTGACTAGGAAAACTCTTTACAGCCACGCCTAGGAAAAACGCTTCCGACTTTCCCTGACTCATGGACACACTAGTCTTCCCCTAAGAATAGTTAGACTGGTCGCTAGGTTTAGCTTCAACAGTACTTGTTGCAAGAATCAGGGCAGAAACACCAGAAGAATAAGAGCAGGAGTCAGACTGTTCATCGTAATGTTGGTACGAATTGAATGATGCAGTTAAAGACAACATAAGTCGAGTAGCAGCAATGTTAGCAATAGTGTCACGAGGGTTATTCCTTACATGTCAGTAGTTAAGTCAGCAGTCCAAGAAAAACGCCCTCCCAGCGACCCGCGGCCCTGTAAGAATGATTTCTTCCAAACAAAGACCGAGCAAACCCCGAAAAAGGGTCCTTGGCCATTCAAGTGGACCATTGGGTCCAGAATCAGTGGATTTCGCAACGTTGGGGCATCAACTGACCGGGAATCCCCTGAACCCAGGCATGCAGGCCATACAAAGTGGAAAGCTAGGTCGAAAAACCAACGCAGAATCACCGTCTTGACTTGCGTTTGTTGGAATGGCATAGCTGCACCCCTAGCATGCTCAGGAGGGAACAGTCCGCTGCAGAATTTGCGGAGGCAACATATGCAAAGTTTGGTGGATTTCCGTGAGCTTACAAGATTTTGCGCGTCCTTGGCGCAATGTGACGTTTATCGGCATGCGAAGGCTCTGGCATTGAATTGGATGGCATGTCCAGACCGGGAAGTGACTATTTTCAGACCTGCGCAGGCACGCCGGAGGGAAGGCAACGAGCTATACAAGGAAGCCCAGGTGGGATCAGGGACAGCATCCAAGTTCTTCTTCTTTCAAGGAAGTGAAGTCCTTGTGCAAGTAAGCTGTGGAAGAGCAATTGGAAGAAAAGGCGGTGAAAAATGGGCGGATGTGGAAGACAAACTAGTGACTTTTGTCTTGTCTTCTTTTCTTTGTTTAGACTGCCCCTCCTAGATTCAATCTACGTAGTGTCGTGAGTTGACTCCAGAGTGCCAAAACGCTGGCTTGACAACTTGATTGTCAAGCTCTGACAGAACAGGCTGCACCCATCATAGTTGCGTTTCCTGTCGGCAGCACCTCAAGCTTTCTGGAGCCGTGGCACATCAGATCTGGGCATGTATGTTCTTTGTGTTGTGACTTAGTTTTCTCGTGCCTTCCGGTGGAGAGTTTGCATGTTGGAAGGATCAAGAGGGCCACTTTCCATAGTAAGATACCATCCTAAGCACTTCAGGTTGTAAGGTATAGGCATACCTGGCGTTCTGCCAAGATCCATTCCCTGCGGATATCATGCATCCCTGAGCTTACCTGCTGAGTAGTGCCCTGTACCACGTCCTCTGAACTACGTTGCGTGTTTGAAATTCAAATCAACAAAAGGACAGTCGAACATGTCGCCACACTTTTAGGGTCTCCATGGGCGAGCTCCGAGAAGTTTCCGCTGGAATCGCACATATAATTGCTAAATGTAGTCGACTAAACTTGTTCTGGGGCAAAGCCGACAAGACATGGATACGGAAACGAGGCGTCTTCGATGCCAGGTCGTTTAAGGCCATTGCAGGTTTTAATGTGTACAGATGGCGGCGGCAAACGAAGATCGTACATACCTGAACAACAGAGAAATCTACATGCTGAGAAATAATCACGGAGTCAATGTTGAGAAGTTGGGGTCAAATGGATCCGAAGTAAAGTAGACCGGGACACATTGTGCCAAGCAAGTGAAAAGAGTCCATACTGCATGTCGCAGCCCGTCACAAGCATTTTAGTGACGAGCATTCAGCGATGAACGTTCAGTGATGATATTTCGCTAGAGCATTGTCTGTGTTTGCTCTGATCTCCTTTAGGCTCCGCTCCACCTCATACAATCAACGCATCTTTCAGCGTCTCACTCTTGATTTTCCAAAAATCTGACGTGCAAACTCCATTGCCCCCTGTTTGCACAAGACTTGTATGAAAAGGAAGGTCTAAATGATTTCAACTGACAACTATTGAAATTCTACACCCTGTTCTCCAGCCAGGACTCAGTGCTCAAACTCGTCCCAGTCTGCACGTTAGAAGAACATTTGTGTTTGGGTAACTCTAATTAGGGATGGTCTCGGGAGAACGGAGGGGGTAATGCATGACATAAGCGGAAAAAGAACTCAGCTCGAAGCTTGCCAGCATCGTGCAGACCCCCGTAGCCAAGGAATCATTCAAGCCTAGGCAGTTGACGAATAATGGACAGCAGGCTGCGATGCCTGGTGAGAGTGCTGGCTGAAAAGGTGAGAGCGACAAATCGCCGACATCCAGTTGTGGAAAAAATCCGGACGTTTTCGTGTCACGTGAAGCGCAGAGAGCCCTTGACACACCAAACACATGTGGACAAGGATGCAGATCAGAAAGGTCAGACAGCTTTTCACGAGAGACCTTCTAACATCTTTCAATGATGTCCCTGTGGATGAGCACTGAAAGGGAACCAGCGTGTCTGCTGAAAAGGCAAACGCAGAAGTCGTAGCTTCTATGCTCTGCAACAAAGCCAATCAACCTTGTCAGGCCCTTTCCAAGATGTCCGGACCTGATAGCTGGAGCCTCAAGACTGTGCGGGGCTTTAAAAAAATGGCCGAGGGATGCTCTGTTGGTCTGGGTGCAGGGCATGTTCCACTTTCTAAGAGCCACATGGAGGCCTTTCTGCTGCAACTGCAGCATTGAGCAAGTACCAGGCTCCAGCTTGCTATGAACAGACCCCTGTGCCAGAGTGCAATGTGCGATTTGACGTCAATCGCAGGCAGCCATTGAGAGATATTCTGAAGGCATCGACATAGCTCCAGAGGCTTGCAGAAGCTTGCAGAAGCTTAAGTGCCTGGGAGCTCACTGTGCCGTTCTGAGGATCACCGCATTCGCAGCAATCGCGCGCTGTGCTACAGCGCACTGAAGGCCCCTGTTCAGCACCATGCACCAACGTGAACATTGACATAAGGCTACAACTCGAATGTCGGCTTTAGGAGACTACAATCCTTCTGTTGTCGTCGTGCGTAGCTGCTCCATGCTTTGGCAAGCGCGAAATGTCAGCATGGTACGTCTTATGTGAAGAATTGAAAGCATTTCCGTTTTTGCATGGGCTTTTCTAGCCTGAGCATGAGCAGAAACATTTGGAGTGTTCAGCCAAATGAGAGTCTTTGTGTTTAGTGCAGCGTGCCTATTTGCGCAAGGCCTGGGGAGAGGCTTGCACTTCCACAAAGAGCCTTAAATCCAAGAAGCAGAAGAACCACGGTAATCAAATCATTGGTATGTTTCAGGGATGTTGCGGCCCCGCAGGACTGGGCAAAATGCAAGGAGGCACGGCCTGTGCCAAGTCTGCCACACCTCTCGGGCCAACAAGCCACCTAAAGACTGGGAAAGTGCGAGAAAGCGCGAGGATGCAGTGGCCGTGGTTGAGCTGAAGCCTGACTTCATGAAGGGCTGGGTGCCTACTCGGCACTGCACATCACTACACCGTAGAGCCAGACGGTCTGCAAAGATCAAGCAGAAGCTTGCAAGGCTGGTTTTTGCTCGCTAAAGCCCTTTGGAAGGAGGGCAGCCCTGTAGTAGTGGAGCACTTAGTTCGACAAATTCTGTAGGCTTTGGGGAGCTTCAATTGGCTGCTCTCTCAAGCAGGCGCAAAGGCAACTGGACCATGCCCTCCAGGCCTGGCATCAAGTCGATTTTTGTGTTTGCTGCCTATCACCGCATTTGGCGTTGTTTCGCAGGTTTTGCCAGGCTGTGCTGAACTGCTTTGAGCCCATCGGTGTACCAGGATGTGAAGGGTTGTGCGGGTGACATGTGCCCAGGTTGGCTCTGCAGGAAGAAATGGCTGGAGATGTTCAGGCTCGGGAGGGTTGAGAAGCAGGAGAACTTGGCCTTTTCTGTGGACAAGGCTGCGGCTGGAGGCGATCTCCTGCCACCCGTGCAGCGGTCAAGCTGGCAGCTAAGGCTGTTTGTGCATTTTTGTGCCTTGCCTTGTGCTCAGAGCTCCTAGAGTCCTAGAGCCGTCCTAAGGAAGCAGCCGGAATGTTTCGCCAGCTTGCACACCCGTTCAAGGCGCTTGACTATACCACTCTCACCGAAGGGTCCCGTCCGGGCAGCTGCTTAAAGATAGTGATGCATAACAACAAAAGCACATTCCAGCGGCTACCTATTTCGCTTCAGTCGCCCTTGGCATGCTCACTCGTGTTGTGCTGGGCGGCTTCTTGTTTCGCTGCCCCTGAATTGTTTTCCTTCCTGTAGAATGAATGACCCGCTCATGATGAGAATGCTCGTGGCGCCTGAAGGGCTGATCTCCTCTTCTAGCTTGCCGCTCTTTGACATTGCTGCAGCCATGCCCTACAAGTAATCAGGCAACTCGAGATCAGGCTCTCGTGTGGCCACTCCGCCTCCTGTTCGTGGTGCCTCAAAATCGCGGTGGCCTATGCTGCCAGAAAGCTTCGCTATCCCTTCAGTGTGACAAGTTTCAAGAGGTCGACAAGCGCCCGTCAGCGTTCTTCGTCTCGCCCACGTTACCAAAGTGCAAGACTAAGTTGAGACGACATGTTTCATTTGGCCTGCATGCCTCATCTTCCTGCAGGTGCTGATTGGGAGGAAACGGCCAGGTTCGGTGAGACGGAAGCGGACAGGCCTGCAGACCGGAGGTTCGACAGATCTGGTGAAGGACTTTGGTTCTGTGCAGCGCAGGACAGCCCACTTTGGTGAGTTTGATGTTTCTCATTCATACTCCCACGCCTCCCATGCTTCTGCTGGGCTCTCAGCTGAGATGGCACACGGAAACATCGGAAACGCGCTGAAACGGGACTGAAACAGTAACTTCTGCCCTGACCAGGGACGTTCGGCGAGTCCCATTCGGCCGTGGAGAGCTGAGATGAACACGAGAAAAGAATGAGTCGAATTTTGTGATGTGTAATTCAAAACGACAAACTGAGGCCACCTCCAGCTCCAGGGGCCCCGGGGCACGCTGCAAGCAAAGTCCATGCCCAGTGTGTTCCCCAAAAAAAAGATCTGGAACTTCAGGAGCCCTGCACCCCCTCCGCCTCGAGATCCTTCTCATGGACATCGTACAAAGCCATCCTCGCTTGCTGGCATGGTGCCCATCTCAGTAAAATCCAGCTCCTGCATGGCATTGAGACCATAGACATGCAAACACGGTTTGGCCACACGTCTTGGGCACTGGGGTGCCTTCACCAGCTCTGTCTTGCACATGGTGCAGGGGACAGTTTGAAAGTGATGATGGTGAAGCGAGGAAGTAGTTCCTGCACATGAGTTCACTGCGGCTTGCGTCCATGGTAATCTCAGCCCAGAATCGCATCTGCTTGATCCCTGAAGTATGCAGGGAGATGCAAACACGGAGGGAACAGTATGATCGGTACATGGGTCAGACGGGCTGGGGAAAGCAGGAAGGCTGGGACGGCAAAGAAAAGCCGGTAAGCCAGAACTGCTATCATCAGGGTTGGAAAGCCAGTGCTGGGCAACAAGCATCGTCTTTTCTATTCTTTGTCCTGCTCTCATCGTCGCAGGCGGCATCCAGTCGGCTCGGCGTGCCTGGAAGCTGACAGCTGTAACGGTTCGTGCCCATTGTACAAATGTTTCGAACCTTTGGTCAATGCATCCCAGCCTCTAGGTACTCTAGGTTGTAGATTTGCTAACTACCTGCAGTTGGACCCGAAGACCTTGGGGTTGTTAGGCTGTTTTGCTGATCAAGCTGCAGTTGAGCAGACCTGAGCTGCGAAGAGCAAATGTTGACATTCTGCGATGAAGCGCAAAGCGCTTTCGCAGCATTGAAGTGCGATAGCTTTCTGGAATCTGTTGGGGCTGGTGATACTGAGAAGTCCAGGCTGCAGAAGCGGGTGTAGTAACGTTCAGGGCTGTTTCGGGAATGACGTCAGAGATCATTCGCCTTGCAGACAAAAAGCCACTGTACCGTACATTACATGCGACATGTGCTCGATTTCTGAATCGCATGTCACCCCAACATGGTCGGCAGCTGGAATGATTCTGGGAGGTTTTGTGGCTGCTTATGGCGCCACCACAGAACCTTTCGCATCACGAGCGGGACTTGTCCTTGTTTAAAAAGCTCTTGGGCGTAGCAATCAGAAGGATGCCATTGTGTCCTGGAGGACGCCATAGGAAACACGCCTTTGCATCAAGCTGCTGCAGGAGGAAACTTAGAGCTGGAGCCTCACTTGTATCTAGTTGTCTTTCTCCATGTACGTTGCAAAAACTGTGCCCCCAGGTGCGCAAAGTGCCTCATGGCACAGGCCATTGTGTTTTTTTTCATGGAAATGTAGACAGACTAGACGGACCAAGTCCCAGTCAAGAGTTGTTCTTGCGTAAACCTGTGATCCAGGGCTGCGATGTCCTCGCCAAAAACGATCGAGGACATACACCTTTCGCATTGTGCACGGATCCAGATGTGCGCTGCGGCATAATTAGACAAGACCGGAATTTCGTGATTTCCGCCTGCGCATTTTCTCGCTGCTGGATTCGGGTGCAGGTACAGCAGCTTTTGCAGAACGCAATGAATGCGACAGCCTGCAAGGCTGCGTTTGGTTGTTTGACTAGTTTTTTTCTTATTGGCCAGGTACATTTCAGCAGGAAAGCTTTGTCAGTGCGATGTATGTGGAGTATACGCTCCATCTGTACACACGGCAAAGGAAGATGTAGCAACTACGGATGGGATCACTTGTTCAGTCATTCAATCTGTTTGTGGAGGTCAGCTTGCATGCCAAGTCTGAACTGCATCTCAGCAAATGCTGCATTTGCTGAGCAGGGCATGTAGGAAAAGCCTGACACGTAGATGGCAGACCCAGTCCACAGGCATCCGGGAAGCAATTTTCGTCTACAGTCTTGAGATATTTGTGCTCATGGCTCCTGGCTCAGCGAGAGTCGCAAAGTGACAGGAATCCAAGACCAGCATCCTGAGGTCTTTAGATGTTTTTTGCGAGAAGGAGATCACACAGACATTTGCCTGAAACTCAGGAAGTACATGTAGTACGGGTGTTTACCAGAAACCATATTCAAGAATTCTCAGGTGTATGAGCATCCGGAGGCAACCGAGAAGGACTGACGCCAGCGTGCACATTATTGCAAGGTGTTGGACTGCCATCGAGTAGAGGGCCAGCTAGCGCAAGGAGAAGCCTGTAACCTGGTGCAACGAAGCCAGTACCTCCAGTGCTTTAGTTTTCTTAGCACCTTAAGAGACTGCCTCTATCTTCAGGTGAGAGCGACCATTCAAGAGCTTGAACATCAGCTCAACCACGTAAGAATCCAAGTGTGCAACCAGGCGGATTCCATTGTCTCAAAACAGTGCCAACTAGGCAATGCACCTCAATCAGCTGGAGACGGTCACAGCCGCCTTGGAAGCAGCTGCCGCCCATCCGGCGTGTGCCACAAACAAATTACTTTGGTTTGTACGGAGTGCTTGACAGGATAAGCCGGTTGACTGCAAGTTAGTGCATCAGTGCAACCAGCTGAAGGACTGAAGCCCAAAGGCCCAAGTGCTGCTACAGAGCCATCGTGAACAGCTGCAGGAGAAGCTAGAATCCGAAATACAATTGGGCAAAGCTATGCAGGTGACAGCTTGCTACTCAGAGCCGTGCTTTCTGTGAAGTGGCAGCATGTCTTCAACTTCGTCTCAGATGTTTTAAGCGCACACGGGCTGCTATGATGTGGATGCGATCCCCAGCACGAAGACTTGCAAGGGTTGTCAACGAGCCATTTCAATCAAGGGTAGCGAACATGAGAGCGCAGCTTCAAGTGAATCGCGCGGTTGTTGGGTGCCGTAAAGCCGCTCACAGCTTGCAAACACGAACTCGAAGCTTCACCGCATAAGTTATTTTGGAGCATACTTGAAGCTGCAACTTCGACTTAGTCTGTTGCCATTGAATGCGGCTGGTAAGTCTGGGATCTTTCATAGGAAGGGTTGCTTGGACCGTCTCGCCAGCTACCAAGATTTGTTCAAGGTGTTTTGGGCAGGAATTTTTGTTCAGATAATATTGACACATGCAGGATCAGCGTCTAGACGGTTGCAGAACTGACATACCAAGACCATCACCGATCTGGACGAGTTTGACAGTGTGCACGATGCACTCAGTAAGGCCTGCGTTGCTACGAAACAGAAGTGCTAGCTCAAGCAACCGTTCATCATACTTGCAGGCAATTGACGATGCAGTTGCAAAAAAGGCTGATCCAGTACGGGTTCGGACCCAAGCCTGCCAACGCTTCCTGGCTTGTGTGAATGCTCATCCTGTTTCTTATTTGAACAGGTCCAAGCCGCCAAAACACTGCGGCGCAAATTGCTTGCAGAGGTCCTGCCTTGAGTGTGGTTTAAGTGTTTTCCCAAGGGCAGGCAAATCAGCTTAGCAAGCATCGGGAAGCATCCTATGCAAAACGAAATACCGACCGGAAGCGAGAACACACAGTTATTGAATCAGGCTCATGCGATCATGCTTGCCTGCGTACCGCGGCCCCTGAAGGACTATTTCCACTAAGCGCCAACAGACGTTGTGAGCCTTCAGTCGTCGTTTGGTTTCTGTTCTTCCATGCTGTCTTCTCATATCAAGCAGCCACCATTCAGTGCCGTCTTTGCGCTCAATGACTTTGAGCTTTCTCGTGAGCTTTCTCGTGTGTCTCATTTTCGCAAGCATGGTTTCTGTTCAGTGTTCTCGTCTAACTCTGCACTTCCAAGCTTGTGTCCTCCAAGGTGGTTGCAGCAAGTGGCGACTAGTTGTTGCACGTAGCCTCAGGACTAGCGATGGCATGCGACGCCGATGGCATGCAGCATCATGAAATAGTTATGGTCATGCAGGCTTCAGGCTTTAAACTTTGCAGGGGGGCCGCAGCAATATGCCGCTGCTACGGAGCAAACCCCCAGCCCAGGAGGTGGAATGTGGACCAACACATGGCAACAGACCTCAGCGACACTGGAACAATTTTGTGAGAAAAACATTGGGACAACGCAAGTCAAGGCTGCCAATCCATGCAAGCAAAGCTCAAAGCAGGCCCACGGAGTTTACGCCCTTCAAGAACACACTCTCCAACTAATGGAAAGGGGTTGGCCGTGGACGAAACTGACATTGCCAAAGCAAGGATGCAGAAACTTCAAATTAGCCTCATTGTTCTTCGGGTCTTGGCAAGGTTTTGGTGGCAAGGCTTTCGGCCAACACTGCAAATTCCCAAAGTGGTTCCAAAAAGAGTTCTAGTCTAGAGTGATTCTAGAGGCCCTTGCCAAAAGATCTCCGAGCTTTTCTTTTTCTTGATTGTGGCTTCCTTCAGGCTTTTGACAGCAGCCCGACAGAGAAAGCGTGTTTTTGGGTACCATGTCAGAGCCCGCGAATATCAGCTCTTGGCATGATTCACTTCCACATCACATTCGCTGGATGCCTTTCAATGTTCTGGAAATGCCTGAAAGTGCCATGAAGTCACTCCCTAAGCTACCAGGTGGATCGGCAGGGCGGCGCATCGTCCATACACATTTTTTTGCATGTCTATAATTTGTGTATTTATGTGGAGTCAAACGGATCCTGTGCTCTTGACCCTCCACCCTAAACCCCTAAACCCGAAAACCTCCAGCTGTAACTTCCCATGGTGGAGGCATCGCTGATGCGAACTGTCCTCGGCCAGCAAAAAACTACAGTGGCTCACATCAGCATGCTGCAGGCTGCAGACGTTGTTTCCGCAGATGCTCGCTGGTCAAATCAGCTATTCTTTCTTCATTCTGCGCGTGCAGGAGCTTTTGACCGCAGCGAAAGCAGAAAATGCGAATGAAGAGCTAGTACTGCAAGCCTCAAAGTCAGAGCCTTCGAATCGAAAGTGTCATGCAGATCTGTCTTCAGCGGAGCCGCACGGCATCAGTGCCTGTCCGAGGCTAATAGCGAGGCTGAGAAGCGAAAGTGAAGTGCAGAAGCGGATTTCGGCAACCGACACGCAGTTGCACACAGTTGCAAGTTGGAGGATGGTGCTTATCCCATAAACATGGAAGTTAGATCCATGACCAAGAAGATAAACAGGCGCTACTGCAGAAAACACTTGGGGTCGGCTGGGGAACATCCAAGCATCTCTTGAGCTTGAGGCAGTCCTCTGCGAAGTGGACTGCTTCAAGGAAGCTGAAGGGAGGGCTGGGGCCTCACAGTCCTCACAAGAATCATGCTACATGCGCCGCAATGATTGCTGCTCCAGCAAGGAAGAGATGCCAGACTGGTCCCGTGACACAGAGAAGTTTGAAGAGTTTCACGAGGCAGCGTGTCCTGCATGTTCCGCGTAAGCCTGCTCGTTTCTGAACTCCTTCCTGGTTGCCAGGACTTCAAGCGAGTGATGGAGGATGCAGAGCGTGATCAGGCCGTCCCAGTGTCAAGCTCACACGGACATGCACGTCATGAAGTGTCCAAGCCAGCAAACACAGAGAAATGAGTCATTACAGCCTTGCAGCTGTTCTCATTCAGATTTCTGTCTCGTACACCACGTCCATGTCCCCGACCAGGCTGTCCATGATGATGGCACCATCAGAGAATATACACGGAATCAACAAAACAACCTGAAGCCTAGATGCAGCACGAAGCAGTCTGTCCTTTGTACATGCTTCGTCAAAGATTGAAACCATCAGCCGCCCATGCACGAATGTCTTTTGGATATCTAATGGCGTCTGCGTGTGTTGACATCAGCACTTTAGGAGACTGTTTGATTTGGATTGCTTGCTGCTTTGCAAGATATCTGACGTGCTTATGGGCACCGCCTTAGAGCAGCCTGGTTCCAAGCTGCTATCGCAGAAGCTGCAGTTCTGAGTGCCCTCGATCTTGATGGCATGACTGAGGCTCGATAAGATTGAGCGCCTACTGGTGGACAAGAAGCAAACCGAAGAAGAGATGCGCCTCAAGGCAACGTTGCACGTTGTTTGTAAAGTCTTTCCCGGAAACATCTACAAGGTTGACTGCAGGAAGGCAGTATACAGCCCTTCCTGGAGACAGTGAACCTCCCTGAACTGTGACTTGAGTTTTTTTTGGAAGCAGGCACATATCAGCATGATCACCTTCTAAGCATGGAGCCATTTTTTAGCCACGCAATTCAGCAGGAATAGCTGCAGAACCTTTCTGACTCTCCTCAAAACATGGCGTGCGAACCTCGTGTTGCCATTTTTCGACATGGGCTCCCATAATCGGGCGGTATATGGATAGATTGAGGCCACACCTATTTGCAAGTTCAGACGATGTCCAGATGGTCGACATGCATCCCAAATTTGCAAACGACAATTTTGCGCGAGCCCATGTTGAATTGTAGCCGTTCTGGCCTACGTTGTACACGGCCGAAAGACATGAACAGCTTGAGAAATGTGTCCTGCAATGTGTAGTAAAAGCAAAAGCCCACATCCAACCATCCGGTGACGTTTGAGCATGGGAGCGCGAAGATATCTGCGCTTGCTTCGCCAATCTTCGCCAGCGGAGACAATGCATCAGTGCCGCGGGGAGTGCGGCTGTCAAAGTTGTTGTTCTGGGCTTTGCCATCAACTCACCGTATTTAATCAGAGGCAAGAGAGATGTACGAGGATTCTAGCCAGCTATAAAATAGAATTTCCATGAGGCCCTAGTGCCTTGGACAGTTGAGCATTTCCGCGGTACAAGGCTTGCGCCCTCCAACGTTCATGTAATTTTTTGCGTGGGCAGCGGCAAGCGCCTGTTCAGGCGGCAAAGGCATCGAAGAAAAAGGGCAAAAAGTGAGTAGTTTTGCGCGTCTCACCCGTTTCACATCTAGCATGTAGCAGACGAGGCTTTGAATTCTAGAGCACTCAATGATGCTCAATGCTAAAACTGCCGCGTGTGCGCTTGAGCTGGTGAACAGTTGGATCAGCTTGCAGCCCGCCTTTGGGCTCAAAAGGAGGCTTTGTCGAAATCTCCGACAGGCGAGATTTTTCTCACTTCGGTTTTAAAGCATAGCAGCATCGTGGTTTTCCTGCCGCTGTTCGATTGGCTGGTTGCAGGCCTCCCCTCCGCAATGAAGAAACTACTGGTGTCAGCCGTGGCCGGGCCAGTTCATGCACGGTGACCATGTTCTGCTGTTTTGCTGTCTGACAGGTGGCTGCCTTGGCACCAGAGGCCAGGCCTGCCCTGCTCCGCCAGGCCCGTCCTTCTGGCGAGCTTGAACATTAACAAGATGTTGATTGTTTCTCGTGACATCTAACACAGGGCCTCTCCGAAAGCTCAGGCGGGGGACTGCTTGATTCCTCATTCAGCAAGCGTTGCATATGTCAAGGTGACCCACTGGAGGAGGATGCGCGTGCGGTGATTTGGCATGTTTGGCTATCCATGGAAGTTTGTGGTTTTCTGGCTGCAAAGGCCAAAGAAGCCGAGATCGAGGCAGAAGAGGCTGTTCACGAAGCAGAGGCTGCGTTGCAAGAAGATGAAACGCCAAGGCGGCCATTGGTGTTGCCCAAGCAAGTCACTACCGTGGCAGCCATAGCTCCCGGGTTCTGCAGGCGTGCCAAGGCGCCTCAGCTCTTTGCCACCATTGCTGCCCTGATGAAAGAAAAGGCCTGAATGGTTTACGCGCAAATTGGGACAAGATATCGGGTGATTGGCACTGAAATCACCATTACCAGTTTTCTGCAACACAACTGCCAGGGCCTGCCCTACAAGGAGTTTGAGCCGAAATGCATGCAGCACATGGAGCAGGCGTGCAACAATGCATTCATGATCGCTTCCACTACTTATTAGCTGTTTTCTGCGTTTTTCCGATGTGTTCTAGGTGAGCAGCTCTTTAGCTGATGCCTACGGTGATGTGCAGGCCTGCGTTGATAATATTTGCCTTCTGTTCCATGGAATGGAACCTTCAACCAGGTCAAGCACCTGCTCACCCAAGAGTGCCGCCACGCTCTCACTATCTCTCACCAGTGCTCGCTTGCCAGTCCTGCGGAGTCATGGTTGATTTTTAATCACTTAGAGAGGATGTCTCTCACAAGATGTGAAGGGAGTCTTTATGCATGTTAGTAAAGGCTAACGGAGCAAGCGCACCCGACCCACGCCAAGCAATCTCGTGTGAGGCCTGGAAGCTGAATTTCCCCGCACGGTGCATGCAGGATTCGATGACGTCAAGGAAAAGAGACTCAGGTTTTTGCCTTGCCGTCGACACGTGGCAACTCATCTGGTGATCTCTCGTGAGGAATGTCTCAAGTTTGCGGACAAGTTCGATGAGGCCATGCGGCAGGCCCGCATCGTGTCGGCATGAATGGTGTGTCCTTGATCTTAACAAGTTTCACTGGCCGAAGGATAGCTCCTTCAAGAAACTATGCAGAGACTTCTTCCAGGCCAGTCATTTCTGCTAGCTTCTGACAAGCGGGTGTGAGGCAGGCTTGGGAATTGTTTTTGAGCCTCCAGCTAGGATGTGTTTCATTATCTAAATTATCCGATAATGTCCATGACGGACTTCCTGCATCTGTGTCCCATTCAGCTTGTGCCAGTGCCTGAGGCATCTGATCTTCCGGTCAGACCAGCAGCAACCAGCAAAAAGAGCACCACGGCCTCAGCAACGAACACCAGAGTGTCGAGTTGGTGGGACCGAGCTTACCGGGCGCCCGATGTCATGAAGGTGCCAGCGCAGGCACCAGAAAAGACAGGCAAGGAGGCTATGGATGAAGCCTTGGCGGATGGAGCGGAAGGCCCGAAGGACCCGCAGGACGCAGCCGACGCAGCCTACGAGGCTGCGCTGCGCTCGGGCAAAAGCCCAGAAGAGGCAGCCCGCATCGCCGCATCAGCTGCGAGCAAGGCAGCAGAAAAAGACGCGGAAAGCTCTGGTAAAAGCCCCAAAGAAGTAGAGCAGGCAGCAGCTGCTGCTGCGTACAAGGCGGGCATGTCCAATGGCATGACCGACCAAGAGGCGAAGGAGGCTTCCGCAGAAGTCGCCGAGGAGATTAGAAGCACCAAAGCAAAAGCTTCAAAAAGCAGCTCAGAAAGCAGCTCCAGCCAGGCTGGCCAGGCTGGCCAGGCTGCATCTGGTGATGTGAGCAACACAGGTGGTGGGTCTGATGGGTTGGGTGGCTCCGAGGGCCAGAAGGACGGAAACGCAAGCGGGGCAGGTTGGCTCCAGTGGCTTTGGTCGCTTCTTTGGCCTGACCCCACAGCAGGTACAGCAGTCCACACCATCCAAAGATTCACAAACACACACCGGAAATGAGACAAAAGATGTTGGCCTTCAAGACTCCGACATGGAGCGCTTGGACGCAATCCTTCGACAGGAAAGGCTCGCATGCATCAGGATCATCAGGTTGCTTAGCTTTTGACGTTCTGCTCAGCCAAAACAGGGACTTTGATGCTGATGGAATTGTGGCGGACACCGACCGCGAGACCTATGCGACAGTATCATGTATCGCAAGGAGCCCACAGATGCCAGAGCTCAGCTGCCATGATCTCAGGCCTGCGTGGCGCATCTCAAGAAGGCCCACAGCTACCTTGATTTGCTGCATGGCATTGTCCTTGAGTCATGCTTGACAAGTAGCAGGTTGGAACAGTCATTGATTCGTCGTATTCCGATCAGCAGGCCACCAGCAGATTATCACTCATTCCAATTCTGACTCGGGTGCGGAAGCATAGTGGACATTAGCAACTGGCAGCAAAGCAGGCGGAAGAGGTGTTGAGGTCTCAGTGCCTCTTGGACAAGGACCCTGTGTTACCGACATAAAGAGTCACACCAAAGCTACGCTTGGAAGATCTTGAGGTATCATGGGTTGTACTGTGTTTGAGGTATCCTCTCCGTGCTTGCATACAAAATCATGCAAGCCTTCCCACACATAATTGTTGGCATTCCTATAGTTGAATTTTTGCTCAGCCTTGTTTGGGGCTCTTACGTGCTCAAACTAAGCTCGGTGCGCAGGTTTTTGGAAGGCGGTTGGAATCCAGTTCCGGTACTGCTGCAGGAGTTCTCCACAAGGGAAGAGTCCTTCATCAAAGCGAAGGCTTCTGCCCGCATCTTTTTTTGTGAGCTTGTGTGCAAGCCCTGAGCAGGATTGCAAGCTCTTCGCAAAGCTGTACATGAAGGCCCGAAAACAGGACTGCCAAGCCAAGCTTGACAAGCTTGTGACTTGCTTTGGCCATGGACATCTTTTAGGAGCTGCTTGGCAGTGACGCGTCCTACAAGAAGTTATGCTCCGTGGCAGCCAAAGGAGCTAGGTTGGCCTCAGAGTCTGGATTTAGGTGCACGGAGCCTTTTTCGTGTATGCTCGCGGTGTCAGAGCAGCGGAGCCGAAGCTTTTTTCGAAGCCTGCATAAACTCATTGCTGTTACGTAAGGCTGGTGACCACTTTTCTTGCTGTGCAGGAAAATGGTATCTGGACAAGTCAAACAGCTTTATGTGCCTCTGGAACACCTTGCCTTGATTATACCATCTAAAACTTGATGATGAGCCTGGCCAGGACATCATGCATACAATGCTCTCAATGGATTATATTCTGCATGCTCACGCAACCTCACACAGATGCTCACACCAACAGAGCCCCCTTGCCAGTTTCATGCTGGCACAGGAAATGCGCTCCAGTGACTGGAATCAAACGTCCTCGTTGGTCAACTCCAGGTCAGCACACAGATTTTTTTTATATATTGTCTTTTGTTGTATGATTCACCCACTGCTCTCACAGTTGCACTTGTGGCAGGTGCCAAGTCCCAACGCAGCACGCAAGATTTGAATGCCATGCCTGTTGCATCAGCACTGCTTTGTGGTCCTCCGGTGGCTTCGAGCCACCACCGCCAGGTCATTTGGCCCTCTTCGCTCGCATTCTAGAACTACTGCCAGCAGTAGCGACATTAATGGAAAGCCTACTCACATCTACTCAAAAATAACGACGTCCATCGTCATCAGCGTGATGTCTGAATGAGATGCTGTGCCGAGGTTCCTGGTACTTCATGTACATGGATCAAGCTGCAGCCTTAGCTGTAACTGAGCCAAATTTTGTATGTCATTGCAAGCATGTTTTTGCTTAGGCCTTTAATCAGGACCGGTGGCAGGCCAGAGACGCGCAAGAGCGTGATCTAGAAGATGGATATCCAGTTGCATGCGAAGCTTACCAAAAACTTTATCCTGTTCAGGACGCTGATGCGATGCTCGTCCAGGCAGGCGTTGAGGAATCCTCCAAAGTGCGGCGCCTCCGCCAAAAAGCCAGTGAGAACCTTGAGGACGCCTAAGGAGATACCTGAGAACTTCTTTTGAATGCGGCCGGAAAATCGGCTGCCCGTGAGCTGGTGAAGCGCTTCACCCAAGAAAAGCTGCGGGGCGGGAAGAAGTGTGGTCAAGACTGCAAATTTATGTTCAGCCTCAAGGTAGAAAGTCTATGTTCTCCTAATGCCTAACCGCAGAGTGTGCCGACATTACCCAACCGCAAAGTATCCCTGCTGTTCCCGGCACAGAGGATCGAACCGCAGAGTATCCTTGCAGTGCCCAACCGCAGAGTATCCCTATATAATCCATCTGCAGAGTACCCCTGCAGTGCCCAGTCACAGAGTATCCCTACTTTGCTCATCCGCAGAAAATCTCTGAAGTGCCAGAGTACCCTTGCGTTGCCCAACCCCACACACAGTATCCCTCAATAGCCCATAAGATCGCCTTACTCGCGATTAACTAAAAGATCATATATAAGCCTGATGTAGGCCTCACAACACCTCTAAAGGACCCTATACAGCCCTCATAACCACTGCAAGCGGGATCCTGTGTAGCCCTTGTAACCCTTTCAAGCGGAAAACTATGCAGGCCTTGCAGCCCCTTCAGGCGTTGTCACGTCTTCAAAGGAGCTCATAGAGCCCTTATAAGCACTTCAATTCACTCGATGTAGGCCTCATGAACTTCGGAAGAGACCTTACATAGGCTTCATATAGCCTTAAATTGGTCAAGAAGGATTAGGGGATTAACCGGAATAAAACCAAGTGCTGGACAGCTGCACTTCAGGGTTGGGATGCTCCAAGCAAACTATTTTCCAAGTTTCATATTCAAGTGAGCTCAACTTGTTTTGCATTGTTGCTTCTGCATTGCTCGTGGGCTCAGCTGTTCATATCTTTGTGAAAGCAGTCGCATGGCAGTCTGACCCTCTCCAAACACAAATGAGATTTCATGATCATGGATGCTGAGCAGTAGTCGGCCGTTGCCCAGCAACTGGAAGATCCAAGATAATTTCTATCACTTTGAGCTGGGCATGGAGCCATGTCCAGACCGTTCCGCAACGCTGGCAGCCAGCAGCGTCTCCGGCCCAGTCCACATTCGCAGCTAAAGGAAGCGGCAGCACCTTCAACTGCTTGGCATTTGGCAGAAGCACTGTAGCTTGGGGTGAAGCCTGACAGATACAGCGCCATGCGTAAAGATTGCAGCGTTCAGTGGACTGCATCAAGCCTTCGAGGTGCCTCGACCACCAGCTTTTTTGAGGTGCGCTTCAGTGTGCAGTCTTTGAGAAAGGCCGAAACAGATTACATGAAGAACGACGCAATCATCACAAACCCAGCGTGGGCATGACGGAACATGCGACAGATCGTGTTCCAAGTGTTTCCTTTTTCATGGACAGGAAGACCTGAACAAAACCATTTATTGCCCCAAAGCAGGCATACAACAGCCTTGTGCGGGATCAAAGTGGAAGTTTTTCAAAGCTGGCAGGGTGGTCTTCGCTGTGGCGTTGACGTTGCTGCCGGCTGCAGGTCTTGCTCGACAAGTTGGTACGGAACCTTTGCAGTGGCTGCCATGCATGTGCTGTGTTTGGACAAGGGGAACAGCCCCTGGCACAGCTGTGGGCGAGCAGAGCCCCAACAGCGCAGGCCAGGGTGCAATGCCAAATTTATCCTCATCGACCTTGATCCGAGAGGACCTTGGGAGGCGGCCTTCCCATGAGCTTAAGGCCTGTGCCGAACAGCATTTGCTAAAGGGCGGGTTGTCGTATCGAAGGTATGGAGCTAATGTGAGGGAATATCAAGTCAAAGGCCACGCATCAGCCATGCGACGTCTTTGAATAGATGGTAGGTCTATGAGAAGTACTGCGATAAGCAAATCAAGACACTGTGCCAAAAGGAGGACGCCTGAACCTCCAGAAAAAGCTCTGCAGGCTTTGCTACAAAGTAAGGGCCTTCATTGCGATGGCTGCGAGAAGGCAAGATGCTATAGTTGGCAGCGCAGCAAGCACATCATGGGTTGCTTTCCGTGCATTGATGCATGCCGGCTGCAGGCAGAACTGGTGCAGAGAGTACTGGACACTTGGGACGAGGAAGTGCTTGAGGCAGAGCACCTCTTCTTTTTTGATTTCATGGGCTGCATGTTGACTCAACTGCTTTGGTCTTGCAGAGGTTTCATCTCCAGACGGTAAGCTTCGTTTGACGAAGGCCAGTTTGTCCGCTTGGCTCTGGAGGATTTAGCTTTTAGGTTCTTTCCCAGTTGAGACGAGCCAAGGGTGAGGACATGAAGCACCAGCAGCAGCTGCTTGGCCAAAGCTGTTGCGTCAGGACATCTTCATGAAAAACCTGAAGATGACCTACAAAAGGCACGATGTACCACCAACACAATCTTTTACGGATATGAGCGCAGGCAGCTGAAGCGGAAGCCAGAGGATGGTGGACATGAGCTCGCTTCCCGATGTTTGTGGCAGATTCATACGTACACGATTCTCAGAAGTTCCTTTCAAATATCAGGCGCTTTCAGTCATGCAGGGTGTCTCCTAATCGACGCTGGCGAATGTTGTTTTGCTATGTTTTACTGACCTGCTGGGGCTGGGGACGTGCACATCAAAAGCCTGCCCTCAGAGCAATGATGTTGGTCGCATCCAAAAGACGATAGAGTCCGTTGTGACCCATGTTGGCCTTACGCAGTTGTCGGTTGCCTCGTTCTTGAGGCTCGCGGACGATGATGACGACATGGACAGATCATGCCTTATGAAGTGTGCATCAGTGTGTTTGTAATGTATGTCTTTTTCATGAGGTGCCGATGTACATATCCCTGACATTGACAAGGCTTGCACAAAAAAGTGAAACTAGTGGCGAAGGGTGTTCATGCCGAGAAAGGGCTGTCGCCTGCACGATGCCGGGCATGAGAGTTGACAAACGTTTGCAAATGCGTGTCCACACCGGATGAAGAGGAGCTTGAATTCTGCGCCCGTGGAGGTTTGGCGTGAATTCAGCACCAAACTTGCAAAGGGTGATGTTCAAACGGTTCTGCTCTCAGCGAGGTGATGGCGGCATGACTTGGACCTTATTGGGTTTGATTGAGCTGAGGACAATGCCGGTCAAATTGTTTACGAGGCCGAGAAGACTAACGTCTGTGCTAGTTCCATTCAAGCCTCTTCCAACAAGATGTCTTCTACTGCATGCGACTTCACGAAACCACCTTCACAATTATGGTAATGCTTCTGCTGCATTTTGGTTCCAAATGAATTTCCGAGATGAGTGGAGTGAGTCTGCCTTGTTAAGGCTGCTAAGAGGAAATGATCCTGCTACTAGTAGTTGAACGCGCAGCCTAGCTCGACATCATGTTCACTGAGGGTAAGACTCTATGTGCAATGGTACTGTAGCACACTATCAGCCAGAGATCTTGTACGCGTCGCTAAAACGCACAGCGTCTGTCTCGCTGGGTTGTGCAGTCTCGGAAAACTATATCTGCCTTGCTCATCAACTGAGAATGGGGACAGGACACGAAGCTTGTCATCCATCCGTGAATGCACTTGTAGAGAAGGATCGCTACTTTTTTGGAGCCTGCGCGCAGTTGCTTTAAGTGCATGCTGCGCTTGGACTGAGAATTCGCAGCAAAGCATGCCCATTTACATGCAGCACTACGCAGCCTGGTATAACAATTTGTAATCAGAAGATGCTGCAGAGCTGCTTGGCATCTTGCCTGCCGTCCCTCAGCACATCAGTAGCATTGCAGGCTACATCCACGCCAACTTTTCCCGAGCAGACGCTTCACATTTGCCATTACAAAGTGAATTGGTATCATTTAGCAGAGGTGGACTTCTGATCAAGGCTGCCGAGGTGAACGTAAGCAAGAAGGGCTTCGGCCAAAGCGGATGCTGACCTTAAATGAAACCAATTAAGCAATGCTGAGAAGTGCCATGTGAAGGCGGGGTTGCAAAAACTCTGGCTCTTCCACGTTCGCGCCGTACCCAAGCAGTGTTGGCAAGTGTCCCCACACGAAGATCAAGTGGCCAAATGTGGAAAAGGACTCCGCATGAAGAAGGTGTGCAAAGTGGACATGAACACGGCGCAAACCAGTGGCAAGACGTCGAACGTTGACAATCGCAATGGTAAAACAAGTGGCGAAATAGGTGCTGGTGACATGACGGACATGTTGTTGCCGTTGTTGTATTTGCAGGTAGGCAGCCCCACGCCAGCACCGAGCTTGTGGGACAAGTGCGCGCCTACGCATGGATGTTTGTATTGCTGGCTAGAAGCATGACTATGCCGAGGTGGAAAATGTATGGACTCATGGCAATGAACATATCCATGCTGCTGCCGCCGGCTGAGAAAGATATACAAATAAATGAGGACAGTGCGGCTCTGCGGTGCATATACATACACATATCTACACGCACATATATATATATATATACATATGTACATACCCCTCTTGGTACTGCTTTGCTTCAAGCTCCGGTACAAGATGCTGAGTCCTGATAATCCTATTCCCCAAACCTGAACCGATTTCTCCATCCGTCCATGATGTGAACGAGGTGTACACAGTTCTTGAAGAGGCTGGTCTGCCTGGAGCCTGAAAAACACCTGACCTATGCTCGTACCGGCAGCTAGTGTGGGTGTTTTCTTGTTTCGGCAAATTTCCGAAGTTTCGGAAGGGAGAGAGAAAGGGAGAGAGAGACAAGCTGTTTATTCTCGGTTTTATCAAGAAAACAAAGAGCCAAAGCCACCACAAGTACAATAAGTAAAAAGCAGTGGGAGAAGACTTTACCTTGACCTAACACGAATTTGTTTGCCAACCAACTTTCTCCCACTACTGGACCTTCACCACGATGCTCACAATAAGCCAACTCAACCTCAAAGCCCTCAACTCTAGCCATCTGGTAATGCTCGTTCCCCCGCAAGGCATGTGGTAAAGATTTGGGCAGAAGTTCAGTTGACAACCAAACGTAGGGTGGAGTGAGGCGCATCGTGCAAGGTATTCATGATAGTCATCTGTCAACAATGAGTGGTGTACCGGTCAGCCCAACAAGGGCTGGGCATGGATGCCTGGGAGGGTCCTCATGGGCCTTCCCAGAGCCCGTACAAAAGAAAGAAAGAGATAGAGAGAGAGACAGGTTTCGGAAATTGTGATGATTGTCTGGGGTCCGAGTATGAGGCTGGGGTACAGGTGCTGACAGCCAGGAGAGCAGTCAGGACAAGCCAGCAAGCTTTCCCACCGAAGGTTGCACTGCTAGGGGCCTCTTGTAGCGCTGTGGTTGTTCACTTTGTAGCAGTGATGCAGTGTGTGAACCAGTGTTAGCGTGGGATTGAATGTTTCACAGCTACACAGAGTTGGATGCACGGCCGGACTAGCTCCTTCATTCAATAAGCCGCCTACCTGAAGTCCGGAAGTGAGTCGTTCCTCGTGTAGTGTGACCAACCGAAGCCGCGACATTCTTGGGCGTGGGGCCGCGCCCTAGGGGGGCTGTAGAGCTCCTCACCACCCTCAAAGAAAAGAAAGAAAGAACAAGAAACCTGTTCCCAATACTGTAGATGGATGGCATGGTCGGGGAAATGAGTCTCCTAATATAATGGGTAGATTGGTGTGTTGTTGAAAGGAGACATCCCGAACCGCTGGCTGAAACTCGACAGTACAGGCCCTGTTAATTGCACGGGGAGTGGGTGGAGGCATAAGTGTCACAACCCAGTAGAGAAGCGAGCTTCATCAATTGGGAATGAAAATGCTCCGGACCTCCTGCGATGACAGGATATGAGACTTATGCGCCCGCTTTGGGGTGCGCCCCGGCAGGGCCTTCGGGTCTTGCATAGCCCATAGAAGAAGAGATAGAGAGACAGAGGGAAATAGCCCGTAGGAAAAAAAGAAAGAAAGAAAAACAAGAAAGAGCATTGCTTTTATATGGGAACGTGCTACTTGGAATCGATTGTGTGCTGCTTCTTTCGGCAGGCAGCTTCTTAGATACGATTGCGCAGCAAACTCGTAGCAACCCTTGGGAAGAGTGACCGGGAAGAGCTGTGCCTAGAGGTGCAGGCATAGGTCCTGCAAACGACCACCAGCAATGCCGTCAACATGCAGAGTTTCGTTTGGTCAGAAACGCAACCGCGAGCAGAAGTCTCTGCAAGGTTGCAGCTTAGCCTTCTTTGCTCGCAACCTTTACCAGATTCTGCAGCTTCTAAAACGCTTCTTCCTGAGCGGATGTTTTCCCTGCTTCTCGTCGGCATCTCTCTTTCCATAGTTGGCATGGGAGGCTTTGACAGCAACGCATTCACCTGAGGAACATTTGAACCGCTAGGCACCAAACAGAACTTGCATACAGCTGAATCCTGGAAATACATGTCGAGCCAAAGGATGGGAGAATCTACTGTGGAGGTTGGGAAGGCGGGACGACGCGGGACGACGCATTGCAAAACATGGTCCAACCTGGCCTCGGGAAGTCAGCATGTCCTGCCTGTCCCGCAGCCGGACTTCCTCAACTTGGAACGGCAAACAAGTTGGCCTGAAAAAGTGTACACCCGCGCTCAGCGGAATGTGAGCTATGTGTACTTGAGCCTCCAGGCACAACACGGCACCCAAACTGAGTTGTGTTCGCTCGTTAGTCAATTATTTGCGCCGCAGGACAAGACAGGGATGGTCAGAATAAGGTTGGCCTGGTATTCGGGCTCTCTTCGATGATGCAGCCGAGCGAGGCAACTGTAAAGCGAAGCGTGGCAGCGGCAGATCGAAACGGTTGGACTTGCGAGCCCTAAGCTCTGAAAGTCCTCGCAAAGCGTTTACCCCAAAACGCGTGGCCCCTGTGTTTGGTTCGAAAACCAGCGTCAGGCCTGAATCCCTGGATGGTTACCACAAGTGCAGGAAGCGACGTTGCGTTCTAATCCGGCTTATGCCTAAATTCATCAAGATTCTAGAGTGATCCAAAGTGAACAAACTCCAGGCTGGTAGTCGTTCGCCTCTGCTTGTGCACTCGCAGACAGGTATAAGGGATCCGAAGCAGCAGCAGAAGAGGAGAACGCCGGACAGCTACTGTTCTGCTGCTCATATTTTCTCCTAGCAGCAGCCAGGTCCCTTCCGACAGTGGTCAAGAAGGCGTGTGCCAAGTTTCCTCAACTGACATGCTTGCAACGAGCCTTCGATCGTGACACCGTCACGTCCGCAGGCCCGGAAGAAGCCAAGAAGCAACCGAAAAAAAAGAAGGCTGGCCGTGCGGTGTATTTGAGTTGATTCAGTTGCATGTGACATGCATGAGCACTTCAAATATGCCAGAGGACAACAAAAAGAAGAGCTGAGATCCAGTGAAACGGCTCGTGGTAAAGCAGCAGCGGGTGTATCAACACTGCGAGACCTTGCCAGACCAAGAAGGCTGGCAGCTATCCATCAAAAGAGTTTTTGCTGCATCCATGGCTTCATTGTGCATCACATCTCCAGGGAGCACGCTTGCCAAGATCATGTGGGTCCAGAGGGCGGGTGGTGTTTTGACTACGCTTGAAAGACAGGCATTCAACCGCTGGGAGAACAAAGGGTCAAGAATCGCGGCTAGGGTAGACGATGTGGATCTAGCAGGGAAGCTGGTGCGATGGTTCAAGTTGGGGTGAGGCATAGGGCCTGCATGGTATCCGGTGCTTGAGCCTGCGAGGCTTAGTTGGATCATTGGCTTTACATGCTTGACAAAGATGTACGAGGTATCACACCCTTTCTGACGTCAAGCCTTCAGAGCCAACAATCAGAAGTCTGCCGTTTGCAAATCTCTCCGCATGCTAGAAGCATTGTTTTCCAGAACCGGAGAATACCGACAGCAAGGAGAAGGTGGATAAGACTGTGTGTCCATGTGTTATCATGAGCCTGAACTGTGCAGAACGAAGAAGTTGAATCACGCATTCAGAGTCCTTGTCGCCATGGACCAGTATGGGGCCCGCCATGTGCTCATGGCAAGTCTGATCCGCTCTTTCAGGTGGGACGTGACTTATGATGAGTGCTGAGCAGTTTCGGCACTTTTGAGGCCACAGCACCTGCCAGACCTGATCAGTAGTTGCCCTGGCAGCTGGCCGAGGAGGAGGATCCCTGCCTGATGTGTGGGGACTCTATATACTGGACTAAGGGTGCGGTGTAATGGTCCCGTCCTGTGCCCGACCTGTGAGGAGCTCAACTTGCAAGGTTGTCATCCTCTCGCTGTGTGGGAGCACATGAATGCCTGGGAGGCGCCTTTAATCAAATGACTCCGAGCTTTCAATGCCAGCGCATCGCCGGCATCGCGATCCATTCAGCTGATGCAGTTCAACTTAGTTGATACAGAACCCGAGCCTTACCAGTGGCTGTACTTGTCTGCATATTCTCGTCTGGCAGGGTTCTCATGCACGTGTGCGGCAGAATGTGCTGGATATTGTCGGGCAGGCCCCTCCGTGAAAGGGAATCATGCTGTCATGGCTAGTAACGGCGTTGTGGCAACACAATGTCAACACACCACTCCGTTTGCTGGTTGTTCTTCTCCAAGCATCGAAACACCAAATTTAGTCAATTTAGTCATGGCTCATCCAACTCGAGCACTGTCATGAGCAAGACATCAACTACAAGCCACAACGATTCACATGCAATCTCAGACAGCAGGATTTTGCAACTGCGTTGCCCAACACACTCCAGAGTCTAGAGCTTCTGGTGGCATTCATGTTGACGTCTCGCCAGCCATGCCCTTCATGAAGTTGGGTGTTCTTCGGTAACCGGAACTGCCATGAGCTTGTCAGGCAAGCTCAGCAGGCTTAGAAGACTTTGGTTGATCTGGATTCTCTTTGCTTCCGCAGAGGGTCTTGCTGGACGGAAGCTTCAATTGGGCAGACCAGATGGGCCTCCGCAGAAGATCGTCATCTCCAACGAGTCTCCTGTTCCCGATGCCTGGGTAGTCCATGAGCTGGAGCTTTTCTTTGGCTTCTGTGGGGAACCAAGTCCTGATGATTTCGTTGCCTTTCTGGGCGCTGGACCTGCTAGAGGTTCAGTGTAGGGCCGTAGGGGCATGTCAATAGTCACAGAAGCAGCTGAACAAAGCTTCATTTTTGCGTGTAGCCAAGCGTTAGCATGCCAAATCTTCCTACAAAGAGGGGAGTTTGCAGTTGGCTGGTTTCTCTTGTCATTGCATAATGTCCGTCGATGTAGCGGAGACCTCTTGCCACACTTCATGTCTTGACCAAAGGGTAACAGTATCACAGCATAATTTGCTCTCTGATCTTTGTATCGTTGCGGCCTAGGTCATGAGGACCGGCCTCTGGATGCTTTTTTGTCCAACATCTGGAGCTCCGGAACCCGCCGGGAGAATGAAGACGCCACAGCAGCATTCCGGGCCTTCGATGGAAGCTTGCAAACAAATTGGACCGCCGACTGCAGACAAGTCCTTGGAGGTTGCGCTCCACTAGATGGATACATCGGCCTTGATGTCAGAGACTCGCCAGAGTACATTGAGGCCTGGGCCAACAAGGACGAGCCCTTCAATATCTCCAACCCCTTCATGGAGAAGTTGAAGGTGCGTTGCATTCGGATTTTTCAAGATCCGCATCCATTACATAAGGCTGATGTGATTTCTATACGAGAAGTCTGGCCTGACACAAGTACCGAGATAGAAGGCGACTACGTCTTCATAACTTTACAGGTCTTGGAGTCTGTCAGTGCAGGAATTTGGTCGCGGAGACCAAGCATCGAAGACACCGCGTGGAGAATAGTTAGTTTGTGGCCTACCGAGGATCCTTTGACCCTCACTGAAGTGAAATTCTTCAAGGATGAGCTGTGCTCGCTCCAAATCCATGGAGCACCATTCTCTTGTGGTAGCGTTGATGCGCTGACTGAAGGCGAGATGCAGGCAATGGATTTGAATCTTGACACCCACTGGCGGGCCAAATGCGCTTCAGATGGAGGAGGTTGCAGTGCCCAGGAGGCATTTTTTGGACTGGACTTTGGCGATGCGGTGACACAGGTCAAATGTGTGCAGCTGTACCAGTACATGCCAAACTCACTGGCCATTATATCGGAAAGGCCCTCCTACTCCAGGGGGTTTGATTTGCAGCATTGGACCGGCAAGAGTTGGCTATCAAAAGAGAGATTTTGGGATCCGGCTTTTGTGTCGCAGGTATCAAATCCCGAGTGGCTTCCCACCATGATCACTCCATACTTCGGTGGTGCCCCTGGAGTTTGGGAAGATTTGCGACCGCCGAACAAGACAGCATGGCGAATCATGAACGATGATTGGACCAGTGCCCAGTGGCACGTTCACGAGCTGGAGTTTTACGAGTCCGAAGCCTGCGATGGACCGAAGCTTGAAGGTACACCTCTCGACATGGTAGGCCCCTCCAACGAACACATGGCAGCTCTGGCTTTCGATGGTGATACAAGCCACAACCTCGCATGGGAGTCCCACTGTCTTGGAAGTTGCGTTCCCTATGAAGCTTGGCTTGGTTTGTACATGCGCCCGCACAACCCAGGGTTGGGAGAAACATACGAGGGGCCGCAGGTCAGGTGCCTCAGGTTGATGCAAAGCAGATTTCAGCAGCACACTGCAGCCTCAATCATCCTGAGCCGGTTCATGAACGGGCAGTGGGAGGGCCAGGAGACGCATCGCTTCGTCGGTGGAGGCACCTGGAACCAGAGGCCCGCACCACCATGGACACAGTGGAGGATTTTGAACGATGGTGCTATCAGGGGGCAGTGGCGGATCCATGAACTGATGGCTTTTAAAGACCCCCTGTGCATTGACCCAGTCGAAAGTGGAAGCCCGTTGGCCAGTGGTTATGCTGTGTTTGCTGAAGGTCCAGACAGGCTTTTCGATTCAAAAGAGAATCCCCCATGGGGTGCAGATTGCATGCAGTGCAATGAATCACGTGGCTATTGGATCGGGATGCAGCTGCCACGTGAGACGGAAGATGCAAGGGCTGGCTTGTCGCTGTTGCGTTGCATCAAACTATGGCAAAGTGCAAAAGTAGAGCAGCAAGCTTCGGGCTTGAAGGTCGAGTTGTGGAATGGTCGGGACTGGACGATGTCTCCCATCTCGGCTTCAGGTTTTCTGGATGGAGGCGGGGGAGGCATTTGGTCTCGGCAGCCTGCAAGCCACATGACCAAGTGGCGTCTCCGGCCCAACATGGCGTTCGATGCTCATTGGCGCGTTGAAGAGATCGAGTACTTTGCAGACTCGCTCTGTTCGCGACGCATTCGTGAGTTCAGGTCTGGCAACGGAGGTGCAGGCTTGTCCGTCTCCGGATATACTTCTGCTCTTGCGGGCTTCGATCTTGCTGGGCGGCCGGCAATGTGGTCGGAGGCTGAATTGGCTGCCGATGGGGATGAGACCTCTTACGTGCTTCTGTCCCATATGCCAAGCATGGGTCGCCCAGCATGGGTCTCAGTGGACTATCTCTCCGAATCTGTGTTTGTGCGGTGTGTGCGCATCCGGCAAGGCCCCTTACCTGTGCAGCACGCTTTCTCCGTGAAGCTAGAAATCTGGGACGGTGCAAAATGGGGCAGTGACCCTGAGATGTCGCCAGAGGAGGAGACCCTTGATGGTTTGGGTGGGGGTGGTTGGCAAAGAAGGCCTGCCGCAGCGGAAACGATCTGGCGGATTGAGAACTTGGACTTTGTTCCAGAAGGCTGGGTTCTTTACGAGTTGGAATTTTACAAGGAGCCTTCCTGTTCTGGCAGCCGACTACTGGGAGAACCCACCGCAAGCGGATTTATTCCGCCGGAGAGCGACCATGGGCCTTTCCAGGCCTTCGATCGCGATGAGAAGTCTGCCTGGGTCTCCCAGTGTGCATATGTACAAGAGGCAGACCTGCCCCTTGGCTATGAGTGGACAGGTCTTCCCATGGGCTGCGACCCCTCCCGTGCATGGATCGGACTTGATCTTGGCGCCTCCTCGCCTGGAACAGTTCAATGTGTGAGACTCATCCAGGCTGGCTACCAGCACATGCAGAGCGCCAGAGTGGGCTTATCCAAGTGGGATGGCAAGGGATGGCAACAAACAATGGAGCTTTCAGGGCTTGGTGGCAGTTCTTGGGAGCAGAGACCTGCTGCTCCAAACACGATGTGGAGGATCTTGCACGGAGCAAGGCGGCCAGGCGTGTGCCGCAATCAATTAAGTCGCATCAACAGGCGCAGTTGGGGTGTGTCAGACTTGGTCTTCTACTCTGATGAAGAGTGTGGTCAAGCAATCACTGGTGGAAGCGCAATCTCATCCGGAAGCATAGACTTCTATCGAGAAACTGTTGCAGATCCCGCAGATGGATACAATGCAAGCAACAGCCTGGATGTCGACAAGCTTACAACATGGGGTGCCAATTGCAATTTCGGATGGAAGCCGGCTGGCCTCCTTGGCATGCAGGACTCTACACGTGTCAACTGCAGTGGTGCTTGGCTGGGCATGGCATTTGTTTCCAAGGCCGTGGAGGTTCGCTGCATCAAGATGGTGCAGAGCAGACTTGAATCAAGCATTTGCTGCGATCCTGCTTCAGAAGCAGAGCTTCAGCGCTGGAATGGCTCCGCTTGGATCGAGGCCACATGGGTACGAGAGCCGCCACCTGCCTACAATCCTGGGGAACGTGTGCAAACAGAAAGAACCCACCTGGGTGCACAGTTCAAGAGTTTGGGAGAGTGTCCTCAGCTCGAGTTCTTGTCTGACCGGAGGATTGATCTGGAAGAAATCGAGGAGATTCGAAACAGGCGCGAAAGTGACAACTGCCGCATCCAGTTGACTGGTGCAACGAGCTTGATGGGTGATCCTGTCTGCGTGACTCACAAGAGATGCAGTCGGAACTTTGGTGATGAGGGCGATTGTTGTCCTATGGGAGACCCGAAATTTGCAATCAGCCGTTGTTGCTGCGATTTCATCAGCTCAGAACCCATCTTCAATGACACAGATGTGCCCGTGGAGAATGGTGACCTGCGCATCAAGTTCAACTTCGAGTATGCCACGATTTGGCTCTCAAACCATCTGCCCTGGGCTGGCCTCGTTACAACAGTGATCGCCTACTTTTCAGCCCTAGGCTTGCCGAAAGATGTCAGGGAGCGGATAACGTTGTGGTGTCACAGGCCACCGGCGCACTTATCACATGCTCACCTGCGCCTGTGGATTCGCCGAACTATTGCCACATTTTTATGGCCTGCAGTGGAATGGAGAGATTTTCTGGCCAACAGTGATTCATCGGTTGCACGCCTCTGTCGTTGGTTTGTCCTGCCAAACGGAGAGTTGCCAAGCCCTTTGGAGCTTCATCGAGGCCTACTTTTCTTGCTGTTTGGCTTCCTGTTCGCCGGTATGGCTCCGTGGTTGGGAATCGGCATCATCTGTGGCGAGGGTGCTCTGCGTGGTCTTATTGGTGTGAGTGTTGTTATCCGATGGTTCAAGTCCAAGTACAATCCGCTTGACCTGAGAGATATGGCCCTTCGCAGGAAGATCACACGGGTTCGGATGAAGACTGAAGAGGATACTGCTGATGGGGTTGATGTTGGCATGGGGTGCGCTGTGGCATTTGCAGCATCCTTGGTGTACTTCTTGAAATTCATCTTTGACATGCTGATCCTGCGCTCGCAGATGATTTCCATGGGCATGATCGAGTCCATCGAGGCACGTCTAATTGTGGATATCTTCCCTGGTCTCTTGGAACTACTACGAGAGCCTGGAATGCTGATTTACCAGATGATGGACACAGCATCACAGGGAGTCTCCGTTGCGCTCACATTCACAATAGGTATGCCGCTCTGTGAGGGATCTTGTGTCCTTGTCGGATCTGTTGGTTTGGTGGCTGTGCTCGTCTGCGCAATGCAGTGGCTGAATTATGATCTCTTTGGCTTGTTCGTAGCCGCGCGGAGCATGTCAAGATCCACTCGGCCTGAATGCCAACGCATTTTTGCGCAGTCCTCAATCATGGGCGTCCTGGGCCTGTCCTTTGCCATCATCCAACTTTCCATGGTGCTGTTTACGCGGGCCCTGCTTTTTGCAAATCCCTTCCAGCAGACTGTCTGGATGTGCGAGCACGACGACACTTTGGCTCTCTACATGGGCAGGACGCTCTTGTTCCTGAGTGCGCTTGGGGGCGTTGTCTTCGTCTTCTTCGCTGTCAATGGACATTTCATGGGTCAGGATTACCTCCTCGAGCGCGTGGGGCGCTTCCTTGCGATTGACCTTGATGGCCTGGACCCTGATGGGACGGGACCTGGTGGGGGAATTGTACGCTGTAACGTTTTCTTTGCAGCTTTTCCAACGCTTTGTGGATTGTGGCTGGACTGGTGGAACATCGAGGCTTTCCTTGTTGCAGAACGGGCTCGGGTCTATGCGGAAGTTCTGTGGGATCCACAGCCTTGCAGAACTTGTGGCAAGATCCATACCCCGTATGACTTGATGATGACCGCAACAGGACGCACCATCAGCATCACAACACAAATTGTGCCTTATGGAGCACTTCTGGGAAAGGCGTCTGAGTACCTGAATGACCCTCCCTTCATTTACTGGGGGACGAAGCTCACCTGCATGTCTGCATCAAGAGCGCCAGAGACAGCCAGACCGCAAATAAGCAAGAAGAAAATCGTGCCCAATCTGTTCCTCTACACCGCCGAGTTTCTGACTCTTCTCATCGAGTATGTTGTGCCTGTGGTGAAGCGAATTAGCAGCGTCTCGATCTACATATGTTGCTTGCTGGGAACATTCACACTAACGGAGAAGAATCTGGTGGAACAAGGGCGATTTGTTCTGCAAACTGGCTTTATGTGTGCAGCGTTTAAGGGTCTCAGTGCATACTTGCTGGATCCCCTGTTGAGCTTTCTCCTTGGTGCAATCTATCGTACTCTGGAGGCGGTGGAAGGGATACAGAATGCCAAGAACTATATTCCAAGAACTGTTGTAGGTCAGGTCATTGCAGGTGGACCGGTGGCTATCCTCATCACCAACAGTGCCACCACGAACGGATGGGCTTCTTTTGCTGACGGCTTGATTGTTGGATGCGTTGCGGGGTATATCACCAGCATGTTCACATTGGCCGTCAATGCATGCCTGGAGCGCAGCAGCCCGCAGCCAGGCGATCCCCCTCGAAGAGCTGTAATTCCGCTTGTGGTGAAGATTACATATTCTCTAGCAGTTGGAGTTGGCGTCGGTGCGGTATCTCTGCGTGATGACCGTACGAATACAATGTCAGCATTCAGAGACATCCTCGCCTTCAGGGATGACAAAGCTATGGTGACTGTTCGAGGTGCGGTCACCGGCATTATCCTCAGTGCAGCGGCTCAATTTGTGAGCTTGAAGATTGTCCTGCTGGAAAACCGGCCTTACAACGAGGATGAGGGCCCAGGCCACACGATGCGCAACTGGAGAGACTCGCCAACCCACCGGGTTCTCCGGACAGTGCGCCAACTTGGAGGTGCAGTGGGAGTTCCTTTGGCAGGTCTCATTGGCAACGTGTTGGCGGAAACAATCTTCGGCTCTGTAAGCGAGACAGAGACCAGTGTGGTGAGCACCACGGTGAAGGCTTTGTTTGCTCTCGGAACCGGAAACTTCTCTGGCATTGTCCTAGCCCTCGCTGTGAATAAGATGCTTGACAATCCTCCCCAGCTTGCAGGCTTTTTCACTTTCTTGGGTGTCTGTGTTCTGGCCGCCAACTGGAACCCTGTCTTTGGATTCACAGCAGCTGTGATTTTCGGATGTGCAGTTGGAAGTGTGTTTGAGGAGTTTGTCGCCCGATCTGTCATGCGCCAGGAGCTTATTCGACGTGATGCCTGGAATGAGGTAGACGATGATTTCATCAACCAAGCCGCATTGAAGCAGTTGTCCTATGCAGATTCTGAGCATGAAACTAACAGTGAATACTTTGCCGCATCACCAACTCGAGAGGAAAATCTTCTGGTAGCCTTAGGGGCCGCATCTGCAAAAGCTCAAACCGCGGAGCTTCTGCAACGGGCACGACTGCGCCGGGGGGAGTCCGAATTCAGCGTTGAGGCGCTAAGGGCCTCTGCAGAGGTGAGCCCTGACGATGCTGAAGAGCAGGAAAGGAGGATAGAACCTTACAGCAGTGGTCCACAGCTACAGAATGTCCCAGATCACTTGGCTGTGGAACTCGACGATCGTGACGGAAGTGAAGATTTCAACAAGGGCGACATTTCCTCTCGCACGGTCAGTCGGACAAGCCTTGCAGTAGCCGAACGCCAGATACCGCCAGAAGACGATGATTCCGAAGAGGAGGATGAGGAAGAAACTCCATTCGAAAAGATGCAGCTAGCCATTCAGGCCCAATTGTCTTCAAGGACGCACACCTCTGGACCGCCGACTTCCCGGCCCGATTTGATTCAACCGCCGCCGGAAGTTGGCAATCCTGGCAACTACGAAGATGCGGCTTTGGAGAAGGATTTGTTCCACAGATGGGAGACGAAGTCCAAACCGGCTGCAACCAGTACAATGCCAGCACGCAGTGGCCAGAGAATTAACATCAGCAATATGTCGAGACCGAAGCCAAAGGCAGCCCCTTCCCGGAATCTAAGGCCCGTTGCAAAGTCAAAGTCAATCCCCGAGAAGCCATCACTGCGATCACTGAAGCAGTCCTCAACATTTGCTTCGTCCATGCTGTCGCAGGAGTCACTTCAGGCACAAAGTCCAGTGGCTGCCAGACGCACAGATGGCTATCAACGAAGCATCATGAATGATGCGTTGCAGACGTCGAGATCTGCTCCGCGTCCGAACAGCTTGCCGAACGGTGAAGCCCATGAAGCCGCAGGACCCTGAGACGTTAATTATGTAACAGTTTTCATCTCTGTCCATTGTTAGTTGCCGAACCTATCTTGACAAGTATTGAATCCTATGCGTGTGACACTTGTTGATCTGATAGCTGTCAAAGCTATCCACCGGCTGGTCCAAACGGATACCCGTTGCAGCCTCTCAGTCTGTAGGATGCTGGGCAAGAATTGCCAAAACAATCTTCTGCCAAGGGATGCGAAGCATACCCTTGCGGCTTTGCATGTACAGGAGCCGCTCACATGTTGTGAACAAGCGTTTCACCGTTGCCGCCTCGTCAGCTAGCATGAACGGTTGAACTTTGCAACTTGGGCATTTGAATCTAGGAAACGCAAAGCACAAGAGGCTGCAGCATCGCTATGCAAGCTGAGCCAGTCAAGCCTCCTACGCCCATGGCTTCCTGGCCCCAACAGATCAGCTTGAATCTGACCAGCAGCGTGCGCTCATAGATCCGAGACCGTGGAGAAGCGAATTTGATGTCATTTAAATACGCTGCGCCTATTCCAGATGACATTGCAAGTCAATTATGAAGGGAAGATCTAGATGGAGCCTATTCTCCAGGTACCCAGTGGGATCAATTGCTCCAGCATACAGTGACAGACACTAATACTGCATCTCAAAGCATTCGTGCTGAAGTTAGCTACAGAATTAATATATCGCATGTTTGGGAGTCGCCAAGTTCATGGGCTCCAGTCTGAGTTTGGCAGGATCTGAAGTTGGGCAGTGCTACGCAGACAGCGCTTCTGAGAGCCCTTGGTTTTCGAGCCCTGGTCTTGGCCCCATTTGCAGGCGCCAGGTAGTTCTGTTTTTGTGATCGCTACGATAGTGATAGCTCGGCGTTTTTCCACGGCTGAAAACTTCGGCTGTTAAATTCATTGAGCACTCAACAGAAGGGCGCATAGTTTCAGATGGCACTTTGACGGTAATCAATGTTAGCTTACATGTCAGTCTGCTGTCATTTCCCTCGGAATGCTCATCTACCAGGATCCTTTGATGTAAGTTGTACTTGTAGCTCGGACTGGAGCACGGCAAGTTTAACGAGACACCCTTGTGAGCCAACATGTTTGAAACATGCCTCGGACTCCTCAACTCCTTCTTCAATCTCTCCGAGGTTCCAGAAGCTGGCCTTCAGATTCGCGGGGAAGGCTTTGTCTTCTCCCCTTGGTGGTCATAGTGTGTGCGTGGCAGATGCAAATCCAATGCAGGCGGATGGATGGTGAGACATGGTGAGACTTGGGGCAAAACAAGCAGCGGTTGCAGATCCTGCTGAGAAATAAGAGTTTGTGCAGAATGTTCCCCCAGTTCTCACAGCTTTTTTTGGTTACAAGTCCTCCTTCCACTCGTGATGAGTTGTGCGTGTCATTGGTTTCGAGTTGTGCATCCGAGGCAACTCAGAGGGTGCATCTGTACGTGTTGCTAGCAGCTAATAGGAGCAACACGTTGCCATGGTTGGACTTGCAGACATCTCAAATTCCTACGGGCGTTTGTTTGGCCGTCAACGACCATGCGAGGTACCTTTCCTTGATCAGTGCAGAGACATACCAGCAAAAGCCTTTTCTGCCTTGAATTGTTCCTCTTATTCCTCAAACAAAACAAAGACGCCAGGTGGTTGTAACCCCATGTGGCTTCTGCAGCTCTCACGATGTCGAGCCTCCGCATAGTTTGGCTCGGAAGGGCGCTCCTCGCTGTCGGCACGTTTGCAGGCCGCTAAGTGCTGTTGGTTCTGGCCAAACTCGAAATCGTGCCCTCGCGAGGCCGCAGTCCTTGTACTTGTCCTGACTTCTCGACCCTCGCTGTCGCAATCCTTGTACTTGTCATTGCTTTTGTACATACCTTTCAAGGCCTTCCAGTGGTCTTCTTCGATGGATGGCGCAGAGAGAGCTTGAGAGATGATACAGCTTGGCCTGGCTCATCTTGCTTGAAGCCACTTCGGAAAAAGGTATTTCCAGTCCTACTGCAAGTATTCTTTGTAAGCCCTCCACATGCAATGGCGAGTGCGCTGCGCAAGCGATTGCGCGGCACCAGGCCTTCAGCACCCTTCATCGGAAAAAATCACCGGCGAGCCATGCGAGCCAGACTTGCGGCTTTTGCCAGCTGACACGAAAGGCAAGCGACACCGTGCTTGCAGCTTGGACATCTTACCACCCGGTATCACCCGGTGTGAAGCCTGCAGGACGTTTTGAAGGATGCGATCGCAACGTGTTTGGGTCGCAGCGATTATGGCCATCCTGCGCCAACTGTGCAGACATGTGCAGAGTCCAACCAAGCTCTGTGTGGACTTTTGGACTTCCTCCACAGTGCACACATTTTCCCAGTCCAACGGTGCTTTAGGATAAGTATTCATGGCATGAGATACGAGGATCCACCGGGCAGATGATGCTGACCGCAAAATCGTACTGGGAATTGTGGTACGTAGGCGAAGGCAGTTAAACTACTGAAATTTCAAGAGCCCAAGGCAAGGAAGCAAAACTCATCCAAGCTCTTTGGTGGAGTCGAGGGTACGGACGGCAATGGGAAAGCAGAGCTCGTGCAAGCAGTGCATCTGCACTGGATCACGTTGGCGGGGCGATTTCACAGACAACTGGTTGAACGACAAACCACACCAATATAAATCCCAGCCCCTTGACTTCTTGTCCGGCTGCTGCATCTTGGCTTCAAACATCTTCAAACGTAGGGAAAGTGGTGAGGTTCCCTCGAAAAGTGTCCGGGGCCCAGGACACGCACGTGAGTGGGAGACGCAGGCACGATCTGAAACACAAGCCAGTGAAGATCAAGGTTACCTGAATGGCCGTGATTGGAGAAAGCTGTTCCTCTCTGACCCCTTATGGTGCCAAAACCTGAGATGGCAGAGCGAATGCACCGGTCATACCGCCAGCTCCTGTCGCAAGCCAGTGTGGGCCCAAGGTTGGTGCAACGCTGGCTCAACTGGGCCGGGGCGGACTGCCGAATGACAAGAAGCCCCGGAGGCACTGAGACCGTTCCTGCAGCATGATAACATGGCAGGAACGAAGACCAAACCCCTAGACAGGAGAGGTGCAGCCTTTACGCGAGACCAACTGAAGCTTATTCTGTTTGCCATGTCAGGGGCTTTCACCGCTAGTACTGGTGCCGACTAAAAATCGGAGGGGTTCAACAAAGTCCCTTAAAGCTGTCTGTGCATGTTTTCAGGGCTCTACTGTAGGTTGAAGTCTTGCTTGTACTGACGTTCGTTGTAGGAAGAATTATGGTCTACACCCTCGGAGTTGTTGGACATTTTGGTCTCGTTTGCCACAGCTCCATATCACATGGACTCTCAGGGGGCTCCCCTCATGTGCAAATCCAAATCTGCATGTCAGTTATGCAACCCAAAAGCATCACAAGTACTTTCTCATTGAGGCCGAAATCCTTACATCAAGGAAGCCTGCCGTCCAGCCGACGGAGTTGTTTGCATTTTCTTCATCTACTGTTGCCAGCCTCCTTGGCTCTCCCAAGCTTCACAGAAAACCCACAACTGAGCGTACGGAGGCTGAGACCTGGAACAAGAACAAAAATGCTGACAACCATCAGGGACAATGCGTGGGGATGCGTGATGAAACGTGTGTTTCTGCGTCGGGTTGTGAAGAAGACACCCTGTGCTAGCAACACATAGAACAGATATAAGCTTCCAATGGCTGCTATCACACAGGTTCTTCACACAAACACAATATGCTGGTTCGAAATTTGTTTGTCGTGTAAAGCATGCCGCACAGGGAGTGGATGTAATGCACAGGAAGCCTGACTTCTCTAATGTCTTCTTGATGTTGCCCGCAGGCCCGTACGCATCTATGGGCTTGGGTGCACCAGCGCTTTCGAAAGGCGGGGCTGTCAGAAAAGCGTCCTAGTGGAGCCGCATTACAGAACACCGCAGTTCCTGCTATGATGTTTGCATCTGGCCAGCGGGGCCAAATTGCTGGCCCATCCCTTCGTTACGACCAGGTGTTTATAAAGTTCCAGATGTGCATGTGTTTGAGAGGGTGTTAGGATGTGGTTTGGACCCAATTCAGCGTGCGTACAATGCTCAAAGGGTCACCTGTCACTGCTTAAGACATACAACCAACAGCCACGTGATTCTGACGCCTGCGTCTGTGATCTGCCACTTTCCTGACGAGGCCAGCCACGGGTGTGGATCTTGGTGTCAACACCTTCTTGTCCGCATCAGAAAATTGTTGAGTCAGAGAGAGGCAATTCTCGAGCATCGAGTCCGGGAACACGGCCCTTAAGTGGCTCTCGATCTGCTCCATCGGTGAGATCGTGCTCCGTGCAGTCCTTACATGCCTGATGGGACTGTTGGCTAGAAAATCCTTACCTCCGGCAGAAGTTCTTGTTGTTTGCAGCACGCCCTGGGAGGATAATGACAACTAAATCATGTGCTGTCAAGGGTGTAGCATAGCATCCTGTGGCCGAAGACCAAAAAATCATAATGCACGAGAGAAAATTTTTCACTCTCCTCTTTGGTGTTTGGTTGCAGCCAACGAGTAGCGAGCTCTGAATCCACGTGCAGCTTAGATGCTACTGCGGCCAAATCAGTATCAGAACCAGGCAAGACGCTCAAGACTTCCACTGCTCAATGCAAACTGTTGCTTGCACCTACTGGAAGAAAATCAGAACGGAAGCTGGAGCCAACACACTACAGATTGAGTCAGCAGGTGTGCCTGAGCTTCTATTGGGGCGCGAGTTCTCAAATCAACGTGTTACAAGCATGTGTGTCAATGCCCCGCCCTACATCGATCCTCCGGCTGCATGTTTCTCGCGATTCAACGGCAGGTGCACCATGGATGTGGCCTAAGACGGATGACGTGTAATTACTCCCCCCCCACAATCGGTAGAGCGACGCGCAGCACCACAGCATAGTGTGGATCCAAGAAACCCGACTCGCTTTGCAGTTTTCACCTCGATGTCTTTGAGCAGCAAAGCTAAAGATGAGTAGCTGAAGAACGAAAGCCTGGAGCTACATTTGTCAGATGCTAGAGTGCATTAGCAGCACGAGCAGCTTCCTCCTTGCAGCATTGGCGCAAAGAGTGAAGTTAGCCGAGCCAGATGCCAGGATTTGATTGGCAGCCCTGTGGTTGACTTGCAGAGTTGTAGCTCCTCTCAGATCAAAGAGACCGTCAGAGAGATGAAAACAAAGACATTGCCTGGCTGGCTGATGTCTGGCACCACCGCAATGTGAATTAAAATCTTTTCAACAAATCGTTTGCCTTTGCGTGTGGTCTGGACAAACATTGCAGTTTTTGCAAGTGGCTTCTTCCCAATATTGGCAAAAGCCGGTCCTTTCTGAACTATGTATACCTGCTCGTTTGCAAGGATTCGTCACGGCCCCTGTCATCCTTGTCGCGCACGCAGTTGCACTGGTCAGGGCCGCAGAATTAGGATAAGATGTCAATGCCTTGCTTTTGAAGATTTTACAGTGTTGTCGATGATGGACTTCTAGGGAGCTGTTCAGTTTCTTCCATTTGAGTTTCAGCAACATTTGATTTTGGGGTCGGGTACCTGGAGGACCTGTGAAGTGGGCTCAAATGAAAGAGCAGGAGCACATCACATGCTGCCATTGAGTGAAAGTCTTGGGAAAAGGTATGGCCTTCCCGTCTGCTGACCTTGGCTAGACGTGGCCCCCTCCGCAACTAGTCCAGCCGATCGCTGTCCAGCGAGAGTGACCTGAGGGTAGTGCCTCTTCTGAGCCCACAAAAAAGAAACGGCATTGGATCAGATTCTTGCATCATATGCGAAGCACTGAATTGTCGAGGTCTCCGCAGCCATTGCACTGGGAATGGGAGCACCTGCGAAGTGCCTGGCACTCGTGATGAATGATGAAGCACAAATGCCGCTAGCCAAGCCTCACGCCAACACTTGCATCAGGTGCGAAGTCCTGTCAGAGAGCGAGAGGCTTCTTCGTGGAGCTTCATGTTTGGTCAACACAGCAAGATCCTGCAAGCTGGTGGTCAAGTGGGGAAGCAGTAGGAAGCTTAAGTTGCTTCACTGGTGTTGAAGGCTTTTGCAAACCCTGCTGCGGGATATGCCCCCTCTTGTACATGGTCTTTGGGGGGTTTATCCCCGCTCTTTTTTGCAGCTCTATGCAACCTCAACCGCTCAGGCATCGAAGCTAGGTGAGGTGGCGGCTAGGGATGAAGCTGAATACAATAAGATAGTTGAGGGACACGATGCCAACGTCCATTGGTCCGCTAAACTCAGGAAGCTAACCAACATTGTTACGATGGCTCAGACTCTGGGCCGGGACTTCCACTGGCAGAAATAAAGTCAGACGAGCCCCTTTCAAAGTCCGCATTGATTGGGCAGGCCAAAGCATTTCAAGTGGTTGAGGATATCCAGAACGTAGCCACGGACTGATGCCCACGTATGATTTTGCTTCTCGTTTCGTTGCAGAATCAGCTTCGTGACGGCCTTCCGAAAGAAATGTCGGCTGCCGGAGGTTTTGAGGGCCCGCACCAGCTTTCACCTCAATATCAAGACCTCCTTGCAGCTGCACTTGCAAAGTAACGTCCTTGTTGAATGTGTTTGGATCTGGTAGAGAGTTTCACATCAATCGCAACGGTGCTGTTGCAGGTTGGCCGTGTGGCCAAGATCATGGGTGCATCCGCCCTACACGCGATTCCTGCAAGTACGCCACTCGGTGTGATGCAGAATCCGCCGTACGCTCAGATTTTGCGAAAGTGCCAGGTTTTGTGTGGGCTAGGATGGCCAGGCTTTGTCTTGAAATGCAACGAGGTATTATCGACGGACAGGCTTAGTTCATGGAGAATGTTAGATGGCGATGCGGCTGCATGTCCTGACTTTGTTCGTGACGCAAAATGTAATGTTCTTGCCAGAAAGCCAACATGCGGGCAAAGCGGGAAAGCGCCTCCTCCTTGGTCCATGCGCTGAAAGCGCAGGATTAGGATTCGGTTTCACCGTTCTAGACGACAATTAGGAGAATCAATAACAAATTGACACTTTTCCTTCATTCATTCACTTAATCTATAATAATCTATTGATTTCATATAGCTTTTTTTGAGTGACTAGTCCTGGGCATATCTGATTCGGATATACAAGAAGGGGACCTCTTTCAAATTTTGTCAACTAATAGAAATCTCAAAAAATACCTCAACATTACGGCGCGGCCACTTGCGGTCATTTCGCTCGCGCGCGGCCTAGGTTTTCCTAGGGGCTCTAAAATCTCGGATTTTAGAGGCTTTCGGAAAAGCTAGAGGCTTTAAAATCTTGAGATGATTTTTGGCACGGGCGGCACGACGACAAATCTCGGAGATTTTTGGTCGCGCGGTCCTTGCCGCCTCCGGAGCGGCTTTCCGCGTGATTTGCGCGGCTGCTCGATGGAGAGTGACGCGAGATTTCTCGAGACTTCGATGAAGATCTAAAATCTTTCAAGATTTGTTAGGTTGGCCGTTTTTGGTCACGTGCATTCTTATAGATTGATTAGTCGTTTAGATGCATGGGCGATTTTTATATATTCTACGTGATTTCTTTTGGTTGTCGGCGACATTATTCGAGGAATGCATGGGGAAAATCTTTGGTAAATAAAACCAAATGGCGATTTACGATGGTTTGGCTGGACGTGAAACATCGGGGTTGAGGTCTATAATTCATTAGATTTAATAGATCTCATGGAGAAAAAATCGATAATTATTGGTTTCATATATGAGGTCATATATAATTTCGTCATTTCGTTTTCTATTCAAAATATCTTCGAATATATATTTTCTAGAGGAATTTTAAATTTTTTTCTATAGATATAGGATAGATTACTTTTCATTTCTTCCGAGAAATTCATTTAGGAAATTTCTTATTCTTTCGGTTTGCTCTATTTCTGATATGATTGCATTAATTAGATACGGAAATTGAAAGGATTTATGAAAATAATTTAGAATATAATTTTAAATGATTTGAAAATTGCTATGATTATATTAATTTAGAATTGTTTATATAAGATTTCTTTAAAAGATTAAGGGATTCGATTTATTTTTCTGATTTATCTATTTATTTTTATATATATTTAATATTTTTTGGGATTATGGGGTTGTATTTTATCTTCTATTCATTTATATTGATTAATAATAAATGAAATTTATATCTGCTATTTGGAAGATACATAGGCGAAAGAAAATAAAAGATCTTCTATCTATCTATTTTTTCCTTTTATTTCTAGCTATCTAGCTCTCTTTCTTTCGTTTTATTTATTTGGTATTATTTATTTATATTTTTTTATTTATTATTTATTTATTATCGTATTTTAGTTATTTATATATATATATTAATTTTCATTTTTAATTGATTCTTATTAATTCTTAATTTTATTCGATTCTTATTATATATATGATTTTCATTAATATATATTTTTATTCATTTTTTTATGAGAGATTCTATTAATTTAAAGGCGATCTCATTCATTATATTATAAACGGCTTTATATCGCATGAATATTTAAGATGCGCCTATATTCGCTTTAAAATCTTCTTTTCGTAAGAATTATCATCAAATAATCGGTAGTCTCCATTGATTTTTGATCGATTAAGAGATCGTTGAATCCCATATAGATACTTAGATTTGAATCTAAATGAGATAATATTATTATTAGGATGCTGTCAAATAAAAAGATATATTAAATAAATAAAAGAATATCCGTTACAAAGCGAAGAGCATATTGCATGAGTGCGAAAGAAAAATATATATTTTCATATATAAATCAATATATAGAAATATGGCGGCGATAATGATTGGGAGGGTGGTATTGATAATAATGAAAATAATGATGGCGATGATAATAGAAGCGGCGATTCCAGCCGTGACGATGCGGGCAGCGGCGGTAATAACAATAATAGTAGCGGCGGTAGTAGTGATAACGGTATTGTGGATGATAATATTAGCGTCAATAATAGAAATAATAATAAAGAAAATAGCGATAGAGATATATAATAATATTTGCGATAATAATAGTGATATTATCGTAATAATAACGAGGATAATAATAGAAATGACGATAAGGGCGATAATAATAATGTGAATAATGAAAATAATAAATGAGAAAAATAAATCCTCTAGCTCCTCGCCCTAGACCTTTTGAATGCCATATTTTCGGCAAAAGAATTCTTTAAGACGAATACTACGCACGTTCTTCCAGATGCAAGAGAAAACTTCGCAGAGATTTGCAGCGAACTACCAAATAATATAATTATAAATCTAAATTTCCTATAATTCGAAATAATCACGCGACATCATGACCCAAATAAAATATAGCATCCCTAATATCGAGTATTATAGAAATTTTATTTCATATAAATTAAATGAAATATAATTAAAAGAATTCACGACTCCGAAATGCCAAAGATTAACCGCTCAATTTTCTCACTCGAAAACCCGATATAGAGAAATTCTAACGTTAAATATCATAGAAATGAATTTCAGAGAATCAATTGACTTTATGAAAATAATCTAGTTGTAAGAGTAATAATATTATAGCCTTAGATGAATATCTTAATATTATAGCGTATATTTTTCGGATTCTTTTGCCCTCGTATATGAGGATATTTTATCGTTCTAATTATTGCTATTCTCTAATAGAATATATAAGCTCCTTGTTTTTGCTATTCTTTTTCTTTCCACAAATAGAAAATAGAAAAGATTCTAATATAATCCAAATACGCAATATATCAATATAATATCCAAATCCAGAATATCTTTGTAGAATTTAAAATATAAAAGATTCGTATAATATCATAATAATTTTCAAATATTTGCAATATTGAAATGAAATATTCTAAATTGCCGTTCTTGCGCAGCTCCTTCCCTGATTTGCCAGAAACTCTCCCTGTCGTCTCAAATATTTGGCATATTGGTTTTTTTTTGATGTCCATGCTTAATGTCGTGGCGTATTTGCTCTTTGGCCAATGAAGCTTCTAGACTAAACCTTTGCAGGTGGGGTATGAGTTTATTATCATTCAAAAGATGAAAGGAGCGTCTCACGACGAATTGTCGGATCCGGCCTCAACTTTCAGCATCTTCTTCGTGGTTTCGACCCAACGTTGCCTCGAATGATTTCAATGCGTTCTCCCTTGCAGGTTGCCTTCCAAAACCCATGTCGGCCTCCAGTTGGGGCCGAACACCGCTGTCGTCTGGGAGCGTCAGGGTGTCGTACATGACCTCAAGGATGGAAAAGGTGACGTAGATGTGGCGAGCAAGCAGTCACTAGGTTGCGAACCCCATACAGCGCGATTGTCGTCTCATCAGCAGCCCTGGTGGCAGCAGCTCTTGTGAGGGATGTCCGAATCTGGGGTATGTTTGCCTCTTCACACCTTCGTCGAGCTTGGGTCCACGAGTGAAATCCTTCAGCTTGAGCTGACAGGGTCAAGGGGGGCATTGGTGAAGGCAATGCACGATCGGGCCTGAATTGCTCGCATCATCTCTTTAAGACCTTTCTCGCTGGGTTCAAAGCCAAACCTCATGGGCAGCAGACAATTTTTGGCTGCTTGACCAGAGACTGGGTGCACGAAGCAGGATGCCTTACCTGCATCCAAATATTTGCACTATGCCGAAGAGCTCCCATGCCATCTCCGCCCAATCAATCAAATCTTACCCTGAACTGAAACCACGTGTCCTTTCAGTCTCAACCCGACTCGGCAGATTGGAGCCCTCACAGCTTCGAGAGAGTCAACTAGCCTAAAACCCTCGAAGCAATACCATCCACAGCACCAAGCGCTGAAGCCCTTGCAGTCCTTAAATGGCAAACACTCGCACCTTTGCTATAATCTGGAAAGCATGCCTGACATTTGGAATGTCAAAGGATTTATTTTGGTCGCCTTACAGGCTGGTGAGAGCGTGGGCTGGTGACCTGTTGCATGCGTGGGGGCATGTGACTTATCAACAACAAGGCTGCGAGAGACGATATCTAAGAGCACCACTTCTCCAACACTGGCTTCTGCAAAGGCAAAGCCTCAGTTGTGACGGGATTTGCATCACCATCCAGGTGACGTGTCAACAAGCCACAGTCGGCGCCCTGCAACTTTTGCCAGGTTGGCGAGGAACGGGCGCTGTCAACAGGAAATCCATGATCAGTATGTGGTTTTGGATGCATGTGTCCAAACTCCCAGAATGGTCGATCAGCAGCTCAGCTCGTCAGCAATAACTGTAGGTGCACGCTGATTATGCGGCATTCTGTGATTGCTAGGTTACTAGGCGCATTTTCACTCAGTGCATAGCAAAGACCCTCGCTTTACACGCTTGTTGGCCTTTTCGCCGCGGACATCCCGCGCTAGCTTCAGAACCTCATGCGAGAAAATTCCATTTACATGAAAGCTAATTTCCCGCATGCCGGCCTGCTTTTGAAACGTGGAGTCCTTGTACGCGTCCCGCAAATCACGGAGCAAGTCCTCAAACAAAGGCCGTGCGCTGTAAGTAGCTCTCAACGGTGACAAACCATGCTGCGGAGTAAGTGCTGCGCTTCCATCTTGGAAAGAAAGGGTGATGCACTGCACAGTCACAATTAGACTTGAGCAGTCCTTGGCACCCTCTCGTGTCAAATGCTTTCTGTTGGAATCCTGGAGCACGTGGACACTCATTGGCTTCAAACACAAAATCGCGATTCCTAGCCTGGAAGAAGCCGTTTGGAGTAGGCAACGCTCGCTTTGGCCTGTAGTATGTGGTCCGCATCTACGTTACATGTCACTACGCCAGCAGTAGTTGTTGCTGCATCTAAGCAGCGTCTCATCCTTCAGAGCATCACTTGACAGGTCGCTGGGAACTGCCTTGCGTGAGCATTTTCAGCAGAATGTCAACAACCCTGGATCAAATTGCATCCTTCCCATGTCCCTGCCTTACGATCCTCACTGAAGACACTCCTGCATCAGAAATGTAGCGCAAGAGAACAATCATTTGGAGCAAGCTGCGCAAGCTTACGCAACTGATACAACTTTTTTCCAACCCCCCAGCTAATGCCTGCAAATAGCCTTCTCCATCGATTTTTTGAGTGATGCCTGCTCCTGGGAATTTCGAAGGGTTTATTACCCAGAAAAACTTGCTTTTCAGCAGAGGTGGTCAATGAATTTGCGGCAGAGTTGATTATGTATTTCAAAGCACTTTTTTTTAGGGCTGGCGAGCGCTGAGGCAAAGGCACGCTCCCGCAGAGCTTGCAGCTTTTCTCGCTTGGCCTGTCCACATCTGCAAGAAGCTTTGCTCGTGCCAAAGCATGGTGCGATTTGGCCTGTGTGTCCTTGGCAATGCGACCGCGATCAGGCCGCCCGACAGAACATTCATCAATCATCTGCAAACATCTCTCCGCCTGCAATGAACAGCATGGCCAGCGTGTCTGTCATACCCAATTGGCTTTGGCAGCTTCGGTGTGATCTCAGAAAGATTCCCCAGTTCGTGATGGCGAGCCTCGTCTAGGTTGCCCAAGCCTTCCAAGGCACATGCGCGCCGAAACCATGCCTGAACACCAGGCAAGTTTTGGGATAAGTCTGCCGCATTATTCGTCGTTTGCTGACATGACAACGCATGACAACTGCGACACCTTGTGGTCTTCTGGGCAAAGCTGCGTGGCTAGTGTTGATGCCTGGCGGATATCAAATGGCATCATCGCTTGTCACATACATGCTGGACAAAAAAAGTCACGAATCTGCCGAAAGCCTTGCAAGCCTCATTCCAGTATCCAAGCTTCATACAAGCCTTGAGCACTGCTCATTGCTGCAAGTTCGCATGCACATGAAATGCTGTCAGACAGCACGGGAGATGCATCCTGCCTGCGAAAGGTTCTTCAGAACCGCTGCATGGAGCTCGAACAACAGTTCATTTGTTTCTTTGTCTGCTGCCTGTGTGTCCAAACAGCAAGGGATGGAAGCGAAGCAGCAATTGCGTGAACTGGCCTGGAACGGGCGCAACGTATCATGCGCTTGCCTGGCCAGGGGGAAACATGCTGCGCCACAGTTCTCATAAGCGTGCCATGTCGGCAATGGCAACGCAGTCAGGGCCTCCAGCTAGCACGGGCTTCTGCGTAATTCCCCTGCTCCCACTCAACGAGCCCATCCTGCTCAGCATGGAAAGGCAAACTTTTTCATAAAAGCGGAACTTTTGGACCCTAGCCTTCTTGCACTTCTGTCCCCAATTCATGATTTGAGCCAACGTAGTGACGTCGGCCACTTTGCGCTCCTACAAGATTGGCAGGAAAAGCGCTGGCTCAGCACCCGTTCACATTACACCGCCTGCTCCTCTTCTTCCGCCTGCTCCTGACGGTCAGCAGCCAGCAACCTCTCAGCTCGCTCAGGTCAGTAAGGCGACGGTCAAGGATAGGGCATGGCTGAAAACCTCAACATGCCTCAAACTTCAAAATGCNNCCCCCCCCCCCCCCCCCCCCGGCGATCCCTGATTTGCGTCGGCGGCCCATTTGCTTGCAATGGGTCATCAAGGAGTAGATAACGGAAGCTCGAGTGACAACTAAAATCTACAATTGCCAACTTTGCAGCTGCCCTCTTGTGCAGCATACATGGCTGCAACTTGCTATCCACAGCCAGCAAACATGAGATCAAAATGAGCTGGCACGGACGTGCCTGGATCTAGCGTCGTACTCGGCAAGCATGTCTTCTGCTGCCTGACAAGGCCAAAGAGGCGATCCCTAGCCGATTGATGCTCTACGCGGTGGCAGAAGTCTCCTTATCACCATCTGCATCGATTTTGTCTCGAATGCCGCGGAGCACGTTCAGGTTCTCCTTCAACAAACACTTTTTGCTGGGTATGGTGAGCGGGCAGCTAAGGTTGCTGTAATGCGAGTATGGTGAGCTGCTGACACATCCTCATTTGGAAAAAAATCTTGATGCTTTCATCATGTTTGCAATTGGGATTGCATGGCCCGACTGCCTTTTCATGACGTGTTGTCATATGAAACAACCAAGTGCATCAGGCTCTTGTTGGGCGCATGGTGAGGGAAAAATCATGCAACGACTCCCTTTGGTATTGTCCTTGCGCTGCTTTATTTCGACTAGCAGCTTGTGATTGAGCTTGAGGACTCTTTCCTTGTTACGGCTTGTGGGGCCTCGGTCTCCCAGCAGGTCCCCATAGATCTACGGCAAACGCCACGCTGAAGCCTTTGAGGTGACCAGAATTGGTCGTTGCTTTGTCATGGTGGGGAGGAAGAGTTTTTTGGTCTCCTCATCCGTCAGCACCTCGCTGAGTGCTCTCCCGGCTTTCTCAGCCTATCCGCTATGCTCAAACAGGGCTGGCAGCCTAGCGCAAGTGCGAAACACCTTTTCGAGAAAGCCGACAATGACGTTCATGGTGATGCTGTAGTGCAGGATGGGTGTCACCAAGCGCTTCACATCTGCTGGCGTGTCCTCAAACTGATGGTTATGATGGGAGAGATTTTTGCCAGGCACCTTTGACGCCTCCAACAAATCGGAGAAGAGTTCTCGTCGTTGGTTCATGTCCCTCACCTGTGAAGCAGTCTGAACACTGCCAACATGATCACAAAATCTCTTTAGGCAGCATCATGTCACGAAAGTCTGCGCATTGGCCTGCTCGAACTGCTTGAGCCATACCTGCAACACAAAGAGGGCAAATCTGAGGACTTCCCTCCAAAGCACGAGTTTAGACGATCAGAACAATACTGGAATTCGCATGATGTTTACGAGTTAGCCCGAGACTGTCTTAGCCATGCCTCTCGACGAGCATTCCAGTGTTGCTCAGTTCGGAGAAGGGCCTGTCGAGAACAGGATGCAGGCTGAAACCCCGAGGCTTTTGCAAAGGTTCTGCCCCACCCTTGCCTTGTTGAATGGTCGTCTGGCAGCGTGGTACCAAAATTCTGGGTCGCTCTGGTCGCGATTGAGATTCGGGTTGTGTCGTGGATCAGTACTGGCAAAGAGAAAAAGCAGTGGAGCCACTACTGGCACACTTACGCAACTACGCACTGAACCTGTCCAGCTGAAGCTGCTTCCTGTGCCACCTTGGCAACATTGGGAATTTTGGGTCTGCCATATGAAGCACATCAAAGGCGACCGTCTGGGTTCATATTGGAGCAAGCCGCTCTCGGTCTCTAAACTTTGGATCCATTTGCGGATAACCAAGATCCTTGGCGTTGGCCGCCGGTACAACAATGCATCAGGCATGACGCAGGCAGCTCCTTGTATTCAGCGTCCGAAATCCACGTTGGCATCAGACTTGCCGCCTGGTTCAAAAGGTGCGCACATCTGCACCCAGCCAAGAAAAACGCACTGCTGCATAAATGCACCTTTGGTTCGTTGGACAAATGCGCCACAGCTGCTTGCAAAGAGCTCTGTGCCTGTCACTGTCAAGGGCCGCTGACCAGACAAAAAGTTTTGGGTATCAATTGCCTCAACTTGGGCAGCAACAGCTGCCTGGCTAGCCTCAGCATGCAAACATCATTTGTTCATAAACTTGTCTGGCTCGGGCTAAATGCCTTCTTGGCCCGGTCCAGTTCACGACGTGCTGCGTCCTGTCAATAGCTTGAATTAAAGCCAAGGCTGCAAGCCGCTCCTCAGCAGTTTGCATGTCCTGCGCCGCTTTGCCTGCTATTGCCTCCAGCTTCCGGGCTGTTTCCTGTCCACGTGATTGGACATGGTGCTTCGAGCTCAGGTGGTAGCACGAAGTTGCATAGTGCAGACAGTCGCCTCATCGAAAGCAGCTCCTCCCAACCCTTGATCCACTGGTTTACGTTTTGGATGCTGTGATTTGCACACATGTTCTGAGGGCAGCACGAACCTGCTGAGTCGTTTTCAAGCTGACGCTGGTGTGTGGCGAGCTCTGCGGAACAGTAAGCTGTGACAAAGCCTCCTACCGAACGTCGCGCTGCACAATCCGTGCTTCCCTTCAAGACGCGCACTTGCGCAGGTCCTCTTTGGCTTTGAGAAAATTCTCATGCCGAAGCAGCTCTTCGCCGCTTAAGTCCTGGGCGTGGCATAGAAAATCAAGCCCCTCTGCAAGGTGCAGTTTGAGACTGCCTAAATGCTCGTTACAAATATGGAAATTGCGAACCAATGAATCGCTCTGTCATGGACGTGCCGCAGCACCGCAAAGCTCCCCACATCCTCGCCAGCAATCTTCTTGAGAAGCGCTTCTCGGAAGGCCTGCTCCGAACTGCTTGTCATCTTCCACTTTGGTCTGCACAGTGTATAGCACATGCTTTGATGGATTGCTGCGTGTGCCTCTAGCGCAGTCTGTCCCAAAAGCACTTCGTGCTGTGCAATTCGTGACATTGCTTGCGTTTACTTCCGTCCTGCATGAGACCTTTTCCTTGCAACACCAGTCTGCACCCTCCCGCAGCCCTCCACACACATTTGTTGGTCATGAATGCCTCTTCAAATCGCACGTTCTCTAACTTGTCTTCAAGGCTATCTAAAGTGGCGTACTGTAAGCGCTGCGGCCCAATTAAGCCTTGTGCTGAAGAAGTCATCATAGTCAACTGAAGAAGTCATCATATTTGTCACGCAAGAGTGGCAGTCGTCAGGAGAAGTTGTAGTGCTTGCGGATAGGTCTTTTCACGTCCCAAACACATGTCATTCCATCGGGAAATGTTGCAAGGTCTCCCGCTTGAATTGTCGCAGGCTCAGCGTCTGACCAGTCTCCTGTAGGGGTTACTGTCACCTCCCCTTCCAGTATGTAAGCAGTCTCCGTTCCGCTGTACTCCCAATCAAACTTCGAAGCGTCACACCCCCAAGTTGGCCAGGAAGATACCCCAAACTTCTCATCGGCTTCCTCCTGCGACATCTTCTCCACCTTGCCCGGCTTGAACCTCATGATGGTCCTTGCTCGGAGGCCTCTAGACACAGTGCTGTGTGTGCTGTGTGACACGAATGCCAGCGGCAACAGTGCAACGGCGACTGCCAACACTGCAGTGATGCAAGGTGAACGCTGGCGAAACGCCGGCATTTGGAGACTGCTGGGCACACCCTCGTGTTTGAGCTGAGAAGCTGGAACAAATCATGGGCCCATGGGCTTCAAACAAAATATCTCAACGACATGTGCACCTACCTTCAGGATCAACGGCTGCTATGAGCTTTCCTGTCAGGCCTCGTCGTCTGGCCCAGGCTCCTTGCAAGTTGGTGGCTTCTGGCAGCAAGTCCAAGCAGTTGACCCGCCTGCGCCACTTCAGACACCATGGCTGAGGGCCGGTGGGAGACGGCGACGTTGCAACAGCAGCTTAGCGCGTGAACTTACTGAGTTTGAAGATGTGTGTCATCCGACCCTGTGGTTTGCGAGCCACAGGCTCACACCACTCGCATGTCATGGCGTGTTCTTTGAAGCGCAGTGAAGGCATCTTCTATGGTGCAGCTGTCCAAGCAATGCTTAAACTTGTCCCATGAAGCATAGGCGTGCCAAAACAGGCTACACATGTTCGGCTTGTGTGAAGATGAGCTGTATTGGTGAGCCTGACTTCTGCGTCCAAATGCACGCTTCAACTGCCGATTCCTGGCCTGACAGTGTGAATCATAACCGTGTCCTGATAACTTTTTTGCTTGACGGTCTCGCGCGATATGCGTGACATCGTCAAGCAGAAGCAGCTTTCGTGGCACTTGCCCGGGACCATTAGACCTGAAAGGCAAAGCAAACAAAAAACGGGCTTTTTCGATACAAACTTGCTGGGCCTTGATACGCTTGGCAGCAGGTTGGGCAACCTCCAACTTTTCAACCTATCGCATCAGGAAAGTGCAGCCATGCTTCGAGTTCAGCCAAGCAGGAGCACCTCATTCAGACCTTCTCGAAGGGCTGTGCAAAACTTGAACACATCTCGGAAGGAGCTGGCACACAGGCGAAAAACAAGGCATCGCAAGTCATTCGTATGAAAAACACTTGCCAGCGGCGCTTGTACAAAGGAGCTGGAGCTACACGGATCACATTTGGTTTCCTGTGATCTACTACCTGAGGCTGGCAGGCAGCTGCTGAAGCCCACGCTGATAACTAACAAACATAAGCAATCCGGGGCTTTTGCGATGCCACGCTTCTCCAGCGCAGCAAATGTTGCTAGGCAAGATGTCTCCTTTCAGGATAACGACAGAACTTCCTTTGTTTATGAGTTTCGACCGTGGCATTGTCCAGCCTCATTGAACTTCAAGCTTAGCTGGCAGCCCCGTGCGGACGGGCACGTTGGAGTGATCACCTGGACTAACATTGATTGCTTCAACCAAGGTTTTAAGGAGGAAAGTGGTACGACAGGAGTTAGATTGCAGCTAAGCAGCGGATAGATGCTTTCCCACCAGATCCGAAATCAGCAGTTCCAGGTATGCAGTCAACAGCATTGACCTGAGCCAGCTACATATAATTCGAGCATCGCTCGATCCATGTCACCGCGCATTCCTGCTTTGCAGGCGTGCAAGGTCACAACATCTGCCCGGGGGTAACTTTGAGCCCGAACTTGGCAATCCAAACCCGACGAGAAAATATTTGTTCTGGTCAATGTTTGTCTCAGACCGTCCAGTTTGGATTGACATGGTACCTTCTCCCCTCTGCAATGCGGAGTGCTTTGGTGTTCCGTGATAGCTGCTGGCCTGGAACAACCTGCTGCCGAAGAAGAAACGGAAGGGGACCGCTTTCTCAGCTTCATAATGTAACAACATCGCCGGGCTCATGTTGTTGCATGGGTCGGTCGCCTCAAATGAAAGGAGGCAATTGTCGGTGCTTCCTTTTGTGTACGGGTTGCTGTCAAACCAAGCTAACATCCCATGTATCAAATGCGCGCAGCCCATCGGAAGTTTGCCAAGTGTCTCGCCTGCCGCGAAGTTCAGTCATGGACGTCCTGCAATGTTGAGACTGGCTCTGACTTGACAACTTGGGTCTTGTCTTGTGCATTGACTGCAATGCAATGCCTTGCAAAGATCTCCAAGCTCGCGAGCAAAGAGACTGTCTGCAAGACTGGCGGATTAGACAATCGCCAAGCCCCTGCGTCGACCTGCCAATAGGCATGCAGCTCAGCTGTTGTGTGCCATCACAAGTGCCTGCCTCCGGGTCCCACTTGTGATCCATGTTGAAGCGGACGCTTTGCTTCTGGCCTGGCAGCATCATGCGCATTTGCATCAGCCCAGCTCAGCAAGGACCGCTCTTTAGATTCAGGCCCCACCATCCGGCCAAGACGGGAAGTCCTTGACATGTAGAGCTGGCAAGACAGCTAGCTGAGTTACAATTTGTGGTCCTTTGTCGTGGTGCTTCTTGTGCACAAAGAAGCCGCCAATGGCCCCGGGTCCCGCGTTCAAGTATTTGTAATTGCACCTGCCGAAAGTGTATGTTTGGCGCTTTGGTCACCCGCATTCCTTTACAGCGCCAAGCTTGATTCATTGAGCTTTGAGGCAATCACCAGCATGCACCATCCACTTCCCAAAGGTGCAATTTCAAATCCTCAGTGCTCAGCTCAACAGCTGAGAAAGCTGTTGGCTTTCTTCTGAGCTGTTGACTATGTTTCCCACAGCATGGGCACAATCCCAGATTGCCTGAGCTGCCAATCTGAACAACTTTGCTGGGATGCGAGGATTTCGGAAGAAAGAAGGCGCAGGCATGTGCTCCCACAGCGTGGGCAGCTGATGTGATGGGTTGCACATCGAAATACTGTCCCGTGTAGTACCTGCGCTGGTCCCAAACATGCTGACCTTGATGCTTCTGAGCGGAAAATCAAATGCTATTTGGGCACTGCACGGTACCGAAACAAGTGACAGCAAGGCTGTCCCCGGCTGCCTGGCGGAAACGGGTGAATGCCTTTTCTGGAGTGAAGCAGTTTTGCCAGCAGCGACATAGGGTCATGATAGGTTGCAGGCCTGTATTGCCTCCACTATGTCCTCGGTCCTAAGCAACTCTTCCCCAGGGCGAGCCTCAGAAGACGTTTTCGTGTCATCCTTCATCATTTAACGAAAGATGCCACGTTCAAACCTTCTAAGTAAAGACCTTCAAGATGCCTTCCCGTTCAAATGCAACTTTTTGATGGCCAAATGTTGAGCTTGTGGCCTTCAAAGGTAGCAGCACCTCTGCTGGATCAAGTCCATGTAGCCGAGCCTGCAAAGGTAAGGTCTGGGCCCAGCCGCCGGCAGCACTTGTTCGACAAACGCACTAAAAAGGACCTGCCTGCGACTCAAAGGCAAAGTAATCAGAGCCAAAAGCACTTGCCTGCCAAAACGTCTCCAGCGGATGTTATGCGTCTCAATTCAGAATCCAGCCTCGTACATGATTTTGTTGCGTTTGCCGCTGGGTCTGTAGAACGATACCTTTTGACACCAGTGTGATCCAGCCAAGTTCACTTGACCATGTGCGTCTGTCTATCATCTGATCAATCGGAGATGCAAAAAGCAAATGCAAATTCACCGTGAGGCTGTTCATGATTGCCACCTGCACGGGTTCGGAATGGTCGAAGGCAACAGAAATAATCTAGCACAAGTCAGCTGCCTCAGTGTTCTCGGCTCCGACAATCGCAGCACTTTGCCTAGACAGGGAAGATCGAGTTCTTGTGCATGTCTACTATGTGTGCGCTGCTCGCTGATTCCGAAACATCCCAAGTCCCCGGCTCTATGACGTTTTCATCTATTGGCATCCATGGCCTGTCCCTGCAGTGCTCTTCACTGTAAATCCTTGACGCAAGAGTGCCTGAGCTTGCGTTGAGGAGACTGCCCTGTGAAGTGGCCGTTGACACCCCATTTGGCCCATTTGTCCAGCTCCTGTGCAACTGCTTCGGGACGCTGATGTCACATGGCGATATGCAGTCCAATCCTCAGAAACCAATTCTTTAGTTTGCGATGGCTGAAGTCCCAAAGAGTTCCTGGCTTTGCTGTGGCAACTCAGCAAAATCATGCTCTGCAGGGAGAATGTCAAACAGAGCGGTAGTGCCCGACCAAATAAACACATTCTTCGCCAGGAGGAGCCAAAACGGGATCCGTTCCCGGCAAACCTCCGTTCGAAGGCACCTGATGGATGGGTTATGTGGAACGAATGCCAGCGGCCCCTGCTCAGGAATGGAACATCTGCGCAACACAGATTTCACACGCCGCCCAAGGCAAGTGCCAAAAATGATTTCCGTTGGCACGATGGCAAGTGCTGCAACTTCTCGTCCAAAAATTGCGCCACCTGCAAACACTTTACATGGGCTGCTTCTGAATTTCCATAAGCCATTCCTCTTTCCAAAGTCAAACATGAAAAGTAGGATATCTGTTCTTCCACATCCTGTTATTTGCATATATGTTCACAAGCCCTGGTTTTGCCTGCGGAGCTCCCACGGACGTGCCAAGCTCCTGGCTCAAGCAGCGTTGTCCAACCAAATGCTAAAAGAATACGGCCTTTGCTGCGGCTTTCAACTCCGAAGCTGCCCTGGTGCCATCGCCGGCCAAAGCCGATAACCATGCCTTTGTTGCTCTCTATGTCCAGTGGTCTTGAATGATGAGCATGCCCTTCGTGTTGCAACCAAAACCTACAGCTGAGCACACGGCTGCATCAGGGCTGCCGCCTCATGGAGATCCCCACTAAAACGGGCAGGACAATACAATCCACATCCCACCTGCCGTGAGGGAATGATGCACTGCCACAGAACCATTGCTCTTTGCGTCTGGCATTGGATTGTCGTGCAACTGTTCAATCCTGCTCAGAATTTGGAGATTGCTGCCACGCAGTTAAATCCAACAACTAATCTCAAACAAATATCGAGATGCTGTTGAACTTCTGTTTCGTTGCTTGCTGCTACCCCAGGAGCGGCAAGCACGTGCAATTTAAGGGCCGTCCTCCCCCCCCCCGCCACAGGCTAAATCCAAGATGACCGCCAAAACACAAAAGCTTGTCTCGTTTCCATCCTGTCGCTTGCGACAAGACAGCATGCACAAGCAAGTTTTCTGCGAATTTGCTGGCATCGCTTGCACTATCCTACAGCGCAGTAAGCTGAAACCGTATTGATGGCCGGTTTGCATGGAAAAAAAGCCTTATACTTGTAAGAAGGTTAAATGCAATCTCTGCAACGCGCTGTCAACTGCTCCCACGGCTAGGGCTGATTGGCCCGAATTGCAATGCCCACAGGTCAGGAGCTGGCACTGGCACTTGGCATAACTCACCTCCTGTCTGCTTAGCAGTATCAGGAGCACATGCACAAACAATTTGTAAATTCAAACTTGTGACAACTATCAAAGCAGAAAGTTTGGAGCTCTCGTCTTGTGTTTCTGAGCGGTATGGAACTGCGCTGCCTACTGTGGCTCAGAAACTTGCCGCTGGAAAGCAACACAACGACTGCAATTTCAGTGTCTGGACAGGTAGAGCACCACCTCAGCCATCGCAGGTTTGGGATTCATTGTTTCTGGTTGTCGATTTGCCGCCATGCAAATGTTCACGCTTTTCGCATCTTTCAGCCAGAGGGCAGCAAGCACCGAGAGCACTTTGAGCTCTGCTTGCCTTGCAGCAAAGCTTTCATCAGTGCCTCGGGATCTCATCACTTCACTCACGTTCCTGCAGTTGCCACGACCTCACCGGCTTCTCAGTGCCAGACGCATGGGGAGCAGTTCGACCAGCCCGAAACCGTCCAGGGTACCTGACGGCGGGGGCAAACCTGCTGCAATGAATTGAAAGTATGAGGCTTGTTGATGAAGCTTGGCAGGTCACGGTTGGCATCGACAATCTTTTCCCCGTCTTGCTCGTTCCGCACGCGTGTGATGAAGCTCCAAGAGGTTGAGTTCGGCGCGTACCTGTCCACCAGAGCAGCTACAAGAGGTGTCAGCTGACACTTTTCAAGTGCCACTACACATGTGATGCGATTGGCACCCTGGGTTGTTGACATCCACCTCCAGCGTGTAATTATTTCGCAGAAGGCCTAGCAGAGGCAGCCCCCCTTCTGCGCAAAAAGCCAAACCTTCTAAGGCAACTTCAAATAATCACTGGCCTGCGCCATCTGGAAACCGGATACTGACCGTGGCGTTGTCGTAGCCCCTACACGTCATGCCTGCGTTGGCTGCTCTGACTCTAGCTGTAATCGTACTGTGTGCAGGCCACCTTCTGGAGGGAATACAAAACCAATGTCATAGCCCCGATTGCTGGTTGGCTGTTCCACTGCATTGCCTTGCCGGCAACACTTCTATTTTCAGAGTGATGCTTATTCGTCATGATCACTGAGAGGTGGGCTTAACCTCAAACGAAAGCCTTCCGTGCAGTTTGCTGGGAAGATGAAGCCATCCGGGCCTGACAGCACCTTGGGAAATGGTCTGCACTAATCAGATAAAGGCTTGTTTTGCTTTGCATTGCACCGCTGTAAGGGCACAGGGTCTATTTTCAACGATGGGTCGTCGCACAGTAAGAAGCATGTAGGGCTCATCTGCTTTGACTAGCTGATCTACAGAAACACTCTCGCCAAGAGCTGCCTCAGGCAAGCCCAAAGCTACCGCCAACCCTCTGAGCCTTTGCTCGTGCAAATGGATGTGCACTGGTCCCGCAAGCAGGGAATCAGGATATGCACATAGCGTTCGCGCAGCTTGTGTGCAAGTCTCCAATGCTTTTTCTTCATATTCCCAGTCAGGGTTTGCCTGCTGGAGAAGGCTGACGAACGATTTCCGTACAGAACGGCTGTCCAATCGTCCCGGGTCCACACAATAGAAGTGGCCGCCAGGTGCAAGGTGCCCTTGCAGAGTGTGCAGCAATGCAGGAAGCAAGCCTCGGTCGTACATTATGTCCGCCCCAATGATGACACCGAAGGGGTCTTCACCTGGAGGAAGCGCAAGCATCTCACTCAATTGCATGCCCTCAAATAAGCATGAAGTCCTGAGCATTCATGGGAAGTCTGTCCTCCACTGCAGCCCTGGGTAGCTGCCCAATCCAGCTCCAAAGCTCGCAGGGTGCATTCCTGCGTCCCTTGCGTCCCGTGTTGCAAAGAATTAAGCTGAACGTTGTATTTCAAGGCCCGCATCACAGGCCCAGGGCGATCGGAGAGAACGACCTGATGTGGAACTGGCAACAGTCCATGCCAGTGCTGCAGGGGTAGGCTTTCGCTTCTTCATGCTTGCGCCTAGACGTCTTAAGCTCCCTGAATGCTGATGACTACCCTGTCGCTCCTGCGGAGGAGTCTGGCGAGTGCTGATTGCATTCAATGTTTTTCGCTTCTGGGGCCTCCGTCACCGTCTCGTCTTTGCTACCAAACACTTTGGAAGCAAAGGGAAGCCAGGCCCAGCATGCCAGGCATGCGACTACGAAGATTTGAATTCCCTATGCCACGTCTTAGCGCAGTGCCTTTTCTCAGGGCGACTCCGAACAGCAAGCTTAGCACGGGCTCTGGCTTAGCGGCCAAAGACCGCGTCAAACTGTCGATTTAAAAAAAAGGATGCAACAGAAGGATGCCTCGTCAGCAATCACAAGCCAGGTTGCTTTAGCGCCCCTGAACGCTTTACTTGCAAGTGGTTGGTCGTCTTCTCTGTGGCAACACAGTCATCTGTAAATGCTAGGGGTGCTGGAATTTGGAGCGTTGGGCCCAGGCAATTTGTGCATGACCTTGGGCATTCCTTTGGCTCTAGTTTTGCGGATCTGGTTGCGTATTTGGATTGAGTCTGGTGCTTGTGCGTTGCCAGTCCTTGCTTTGTCAATCCAGGCCTCATTGGCTCCGAGCTTTGCAGCAACCAATCCTCCCGCACCCAGGCCGCTCCCCAACTCCAACACGCGGTGTGACTGCACGCATCTCGAGCTTGTCAGCCAGGCTGCGAGGACCTTGGTTGCTGCTTCGCAAATACCAGATTGGCCTATGATTTCATCCTATCAGCCATAACTCAGCGCAGCTGAAGCCCGGGCAAGCCCAGACCCCCACAGCAGTTCACCCTGCAGAGCTTGCTTCCTTCCAGAAAGCTTTGGCCGCTTTATATTGCACATTGAGGTCGGGGAATCCGCAGCATCTTCACAGGGGAGCCGCCCCGAACCATCGGGACCAGAAAGCTGGAGAAGACAGGATGAAGACATACCTGAGTGATTGATTTGATTGCAATGTCCAAGTCCACAGCCGTCTCGGCCCATGCCAAGTTACCTGGCAAATTCAACTTGAGCATGTCCGCAACGTAGCGTGGTGTTTGCCCTCCCAGCGTGGCATTTCTACACGGATCTCGAAGGCGGCTTGTCTCCTGCTCGACCTGGTTGGAGCCATCAAGGCCCACATCTGGCCGCACGAAAGTGCGCGGGGACAAAGCAAGCTGCAAGCATGCTTGCTCCAGGCTGCACGAATTCATTCTACAAGTTGACAAATCTGCAGCTCGGAAACCTAAGCGGCTTAGGCTAAGCCCAACTTGCTGCGGTACTTGTTAGGCTAAGCCCAACCTGCTGCGGTACTTGTTGCGTCTGTGCTTGTTGTGCCTCACGTAGAGCACTCAGGGTTCAATGCGGGCTGAGGCACAAGTTCATTGCCGATGTCTGCCTGGTTCAGGATGGTGGATTGAACGAAGACCTGAACGAACACCAGAAACATTCTGACGAAGGGTATAACTTCCGTTGATTCTGCAGCTGCGGACCAAGGCTTAGGCAACGCGAAGTGGATTTACCTGTCCAAAGTAGTTAAAGGTGGCCTGAATGTCGACCTGCAGGACAGAAAATGAGATGCGCACTATCAGGCATGATGCGTTGTACTGGTCAGACGCGATGCAGGCCTCGATACGGCCGGTGATGTCAAAGCTGGGCACGAAGTCACGCATGTCAAGCACGTCAGCCAGCGGACCTGAGTGCGATGCCCTGGCTTGGGGCCATGCAGTTGACTCTGATACAGGAAGTTCAGAGTAGGACTGATGATGCGGAAGTTGAAGTAGTTCAGCTGCGGTGTGAACTCTGGATTTGACCTGAGTTCAAGTGGTGTTTGCTCCGGATTGCCTTCTGCCGCCATGCTGGAGGTTTGAAAGTCAGCCCGCCGCACAACGACAAACAGCCTGAAAGGCGAGTTTGGCTGCTTGGGATCCGAGGTGTCCATGGTGAACTCCGCAATGTTTGGCTCCCGAACCTCACTTGCACATTGCGAAGGGGGAGCCAAATACCAAGGAATTGTTTGTTGGCTTCCAGGCTCCTAGGCGGGGTTTGTGGGTGTAGGTCAGGGTGTAGGGACTCCGGGACTTTCATTTTCTGCAATGGTCCGCTTCGGCAAATTCCAGCCTGCTATGCCTAACCCAACACCTCTAAGATCATCTTGTCATCCCAATCTCCTAATGAATTGCTATGTGATTATGTTGCAATTCAAAACTCATAAATCCCGTAGGCAAGCCAGATTTCAACCAGATATCCCCAACTGCTGCTAATCGCTGGAAGTGGCGTAGCACGTAGTCGTGATGGCCAGGCCGGCATCTGTGCTGAAAAAGGCGCAGGTAAAAATGAAGCCTTAGCACTGCCACCAGCAGCTCAACTGCACCTGCAGAGTGTCCTGCTTTGCCCGAACTGGAATGAGGACGGTGCCAACAGGAGCTGTGATTTCAATCTTGGATCCGCCAGGAATGTACTTGTCACTCATCAGGTAAAACCTGGGCCGACGTGTTGTTCGCGACTTGTCAAATCTAAATCTGAGGTCTCCCTCTTTTTGCATGTGAAGAAAAAAATATGAAAGACTCAGCTCGTGACTCCAGCCGATGCAAAGGCAGCAAGGTGGTGGTGTCGGATGGAGTTACCCGGACTTCCTAGACGAAATCTAAACGGAAAATGCAGTCACAGAAGCGCAGATTCAGGCCTTGATTTGCTCCAGCTCAAACCCCGGAACACTTTGCCTGGCAATGAGACGTCATTCGCTACACATCACGGTGACTATGCATCCTCTAGAATGTCAACAGGTTGGGTACCGCAGGTGGAGGATCACACCGTTCTGAAGCGTCTCGAACCTCCACACCTGTTCTCTCATTTCCCAGCGCGTGAATGATGAATGGCATGCAGGCCCAACGCAGGCAGCTGGGTCTGCAGCATTTTCTGAAGTAGGTGGAGTACGGAATGGATTTGTGATGCCGAACTCAAAAGCATAGTCAAGACCATAAGACACTTCCTGCTCGATGGTCAGCTCGACGAACCACCTCAGAAGCCATCAGTTCGCTTAAGTAACATGTCTTGTTGGGAACCAATCTGTAACTTTCCAGTCTTGGCAGTACACAGCCAGTCCCTACATGCACGCAAGGAATGCACATTCTTAAAGCTGTCTGGCTCTGCTGGGCTAGGACTTTCTGTGAGTGAGTTGAGAAGCCCTCGCTACATGTGCATCTCTAGAATGCAAAGACGTGCTGGCCAGTCTTCTGTCTTTGGCATTTTCACGGGCACTTGTGGCTTCTTCTGGAGCTGTTGCCACTGTTGCTTAAAAAATGACACCTGCACGTCTCGATTTCTACTGCTCCTGCAACTTCTCCGGCTGCCGCCAACACTAGTAGTCCTAGACCGCTGCAAGTGGTGCGGCCCGCCCTTTGCACTCTCAAAGAATTTTCCCGTCCTTTTGGCGCTTTTTGTGCTACTGCTGCTGTTCTTCGTATGGCTTCCACGAAGTGCTACTGCTCCTGCGCTGTACCAGTGCTAACAGAGGCTGCTTACTCCTGAAAAATGCTTGAAGCAGACGCAACATGGCAGGTGTTGTTTTGGAGTTTCGAGCCTGGTGGTCGTATCAAGAAATTTCTGGGTGAGCCCAACAAACCCTACTACAATGTTACAAGCGTTGAAAACACTGGAGGGACAGTGCTTGTAGGGTTTTCAACAGATTTCTGCGTTTGTCCCGAATTCGCAAAGCCCTCTAGCAAAATGGTGGGGCTAAGGCGCACAAAATCACACAATCCCAAACCCTAAACCGGCAACATCCGTGAACCCTAAACTTGAGGGCCACCGGCAGAAACGAAAAGCTCTGCGCGACGTCAAGTTGTACGTACAAAATAGCGTGAAATGCAAACAACTCACGCGTGTGCTGTAACCGTGCTGGAAGAGCAACAAGGACAGCGCACCGAATGCAATCTGCACGGTTTACTGGCAGCTACGACAGATTCTAGACCCAAGAATGTCCCGGGGAGAGCTTCTCCGCCTTCGAAGATTAAGATGCCGCAAGAAATCACGTTTAGGCCTGTAGCGGCCTGCATTTGCTGCATCACGGCCCCCTGTTTCTCCCCGCCAGCCTCCAGGCGTTCCCAGAAACCCCTCAATTAAAGGCCGCCCGCGTGACTCCCGTCGCCGCCCGTCGCCCTGGACCCCCTGCTTCCCAGCTCACTACATTCAGGTAAGCTCCCTCCGACCAGGAGTCTTCGTGCCATATCCCCAAACCTCATGAACCTTAAACAAAAACAAGCCACTCCGAAGCAAAAACCCTAAAGTGCGTTTATTTGCGAACAACCCATTCCCAGTGCTGCTGCTACTACTACCACTACGACAATGGGGAGCACCATGATCACAACAATGACGACGATGACAACGGCCGGGACTCGGGATTTTCCCCTACCACGTTTTACCTCGTGCGCCAATGCAGCGTTTTGAAGCTTTGAGGGTTCGTATGAAGCTTGTGCCCTCTGCAGAGACTGGGCTGGCAAATCGCGCTCAAATAATTGCAGATGCAGCCCTTGTAGAAGTTTTGGGGCTCCTATGTGATCCCGAAGAAGACCATACCCGAAACAACCCAAACGCAGAACTCTAAACAACACCCCAAACCTATGTTGTAAACAGCCCCAAACCATAAACTTTTGACAGCCTCAAAGCCCAAATCCTGAACTAACCAAAGCTCTACACAGCCCCAGAGGGCGTAATGACCGCAAAGCCTCAACAACCCGAAGGCTAAACCCTACGAGTACAAAGTACCCGAAAGCCATGACGATAAGCATATGCTGATGATGCCAGCTGGCAATGTATGGGCGTATTGCTCCTAAGTACTACTGTTACTGCCGGTGCGGCTGCTGCTGCTGCTGCTGCTGCTGCTTCTGCAGCATCATGACAAACATCAACAACAAAAACAGCCAGCGAAAACGGCCAGGGCTGCAACGGTGACACAGACTACAAACAGGTCCCACAGCTTCGCTAATCTGCTTTACGCTGTCGAGGATCTTGCTCACCATTGTGCAAGCTGAGACAAGACAACGATTGGTCAGCTCCTGTTTAACCCCTGCCGGTCCACACATGAACTTTCACTGTTGTAGATGTGGGGTGCAAGAGGTTGGGAGAGCTGCTTAGGTTCTCTGAGTTTTCGGCTGGCCGCTCGCTGCGTCGTAGTTGTCGTAGCAGTACGTTCCCGAGGGCAGCGACAGGTATGAGATCTGGGCAGCTCAAGTCATGCCAAACATGATGACAGGAGGCTTCTGGCTGCTTGATCCGTACTGCGCAAATGCCCCCATCTCCCGGGTTGCGCGCCGCAACACTCATTACTGACCCCTCTAGCCTTGCACACGTTCATGATCCAAACTAAAGCTATATGGGCCGTTGGCCTGAGATTCCAGGGTCATGAAGGCTTGGAACTCTCAGAGTGTGGCTGTGATGGGGAAGGGGTTCTTGACCAGCTCGCGACCGGAATCGTATGACAGGGAGAACAAGGCATTCCCACAGTCCTTGCGTGCCATGTCAAAAAAGCATGTGTAAATCTTGATCGCTTGCGGTAGATGTCCGGAAGTGGTTCAAAGGTGGGTGGCAACCACAGCCTCATCTGACTAGTCCTTAGTAGCAATCAAGACGTCTATCGAGAAGTATGCGACATCAACACCTCCAAGGGCTTCACTGCCCTGTCTCCAAGCTGGCTTTGAGTGGACTCTTCAAGTTCAGCCAGATGCCAACCTTCCCAGTGAGCAGCACAACAGAGATCGGTGCTTGATGGAAGATCCTCAGGCCCTCGCCACGTTAGTAGCCAAAGGAGACAGCACAGTGCCAGTAACGTATGCTCCAGAAAACTCGCCGAAGATCTTAAAGCCGGTGACGTTCAGATTGACATTCAGCCTCAGGACAAGACACACTCACATGTAGGCTCCTTCTCCTTGCTCTTGCTGTGCGCTGTTTGGTTCCTGGCAGCTCTTCCGTCCCGGAGGACAGGCTCATGGCTTCGAAGGTCCAAACCTGAGCCGTATGTGAACAAAGCTTGGGACAGGGTAGACATCTCAAACACAAGCACGTGGAGCAACACCCGAGCTGCCAGCATTGTTAGCTCTGGTCGGTGAGATTTCTGGGTTGCTCAGCCCAAGAATGACGACCTCAGGAATAGGCGGAGAGTATATGCAGGATGGAATGCCTGCTGTTGTTTCAGCTTCTTTTCGTGGATGTCCGTGCCATCCAGAAACAAGCAAGATTGAGACCGTTGAATGCGTAATCAGATTGGAGGAGCATCGTTGATATTGCAGGTGTCGGATGGTGCGTGTCTCCTAGACACTTTGCTAGGATGCCTGGCATTCACCAAGCAATCCCGCTGGAGTCCTTCCCCTACTACAATCCTTCCCTTACTACTGGCAGCCCTTACTACTGGCAGCCTAAAAGACTTGCTGATCTCAAGCAGGTAACTCCTGACCTCCTTCCAAGTAATGGGCTGACTGGCTTGGCATAGCTTCAACTTATTTGAGGCTCTTGCACGAAGAGTGAGTGAGTGATAGGGCTTTGTGGAAGACGCTTGACGGCAGGAGCACATGATTTTTTTTAAAGGCCATAGTAATCATGAAGGATCCGGAGCCTCAGATTTGCAGAGGCTGGCAACATAAGTCGCGAGAGGACATCATCTAGGCCATCATGGCAAGAAGTTCACTACCCGCCATTCAAAGGGCATCGACGGCTACACTTACTGACGGTGGTGGAATAGGTTATAGCCAATGGTGTGTTGTTGTCGTGGTTGTTGTCGAGTTGAGAGGACTCAAAGCACCACGCAAAAGTAAAACAGTACCCGCAGGAATGTATCACGAACCTCAGCAAGCAGAGGGCTGAGAAAGCTAAGGGTGCGTGGCGCCCGCAAAACACCAGAGCCCCACAATCTGAAGTCCCAAGGTCAATAGCTAGAGGGCACGCTTCCATTTATAAGGAAGAACTCGGAATAACACGCTTTCCTCATGAAGCGGGATTTTTCTCTAAGGCACACTTTCTGTGGGAGTCCTGCCAGCAAATTGTTACGCTTAGACACGTGCTGTGTGAAAGCAAATAAGACGCAGCGACGAAGAACAAGGCTCCCACAAAGACGACTAGGCTAGTGAACTAAGGAGGCTGCGAGCGGAATGTTGGCCGGGTAGGCTTCCTCAATAGCTTCCAGCCTTAGTATGGCCATGTCTTGCACCGTGCATACCAAGGAGACGCAATGCAGCTTGCCTCACAATTAAACAGCTGGTGACATCATGCAATCCTGCATTTTTGGAAAGCATGCGACGGATCTGGGCTAACAACGCCTGACGCTCACAATGTGGACCCCTCTCATGGTCCACAAAAACTGGTGGCACTAACTTCTCAACAGCCTCGTCGTCCTTTTGCGAAACATCCAGATCGGCCCGGCCGTGGATGCGGCAACGACAGCTGCGCGGCTCACTGTCGGTATGATCTTCAGCGGGCTGCGTGCCGACTTTGAGCACTCCAGCACACCAAGCCACCAAGTTCTTAGCAGCTGGATCGCGGCCAACCACAACGCCTCGAAATGATCTCGAGTTCTGAAGCCTTCCTCGTAACTTCCATGCGCTGTTTGCAAATGTGCCTTTGCCGTGGACATGGTCCAGTGTAAGGCTAGTGAACATCCGTCCCAAGCTTGGCTGCCGCAGTAAAGCTTCCGGAGGTTGTTCAGTGCGAAATGGCCAATGGCAAAGACATGCCAATGCAGACGTCGCAGGTGAAAGAGATGCACGTACCTGCTTTGAGATCGTTTCCTTCACGTCTCGAAAATCAAGGATGCAGTCGAGCGCTTCCACAACAAATCCCACGTCAGCCTTTGGGTCAATGACCTTTTCTGAGCCAACCTTTGACTGGATCCATGACTCAGTCTTGGCCAGGAATGAAGGCATCCTTGGCTAGGCCACCCTTCCACCATGTAGAGTGCATGTTGTCATATGTTGACGAACTAACAATTGGACAGGAATTTCTGCGGGCCCTGCACATGCGCACAAACGCCTCTAGCCTGTCAACCCTCCCTTACACGCAACGCTGTGACGCCTTCCTTTCCCGCCATGATCCGAGGCAGTGCAGCAGCCATCTCGCTCGCACCCCTCCGACTCATGTTTTTGGCTACAATCCGCTGAGGCCAAAGGCCTTGACCATTTGGATTCAAGGAATTGTGGTCTTCCCGCCATGACAATCAATGCTGCTAGGTCTGCTGCAAGCCCCATCCTCCCACAAGCGGTCCCCCCTCCTTTGCCTCACGAGGCCCCTTGGTTGTCGTTGCTGCCGCAAGGCCCCCGGAAAGGTTGTGGGAGGTACGGCATTTGAGGGGCCACTACACGAGCTGTCAGAAGTTGATTGTGAATGCTCGGATGCATGCGGCCCCCCGACCTTCCCACTTTGCATGCGTTGACGTACAAACTACAACCTCTCGGACCGAAAAACTACTACAATCCTTCTCTTGGACAGGCTGCTCACTCCTCTCAATTCCCAATAATTTTGGCAAGGTTGCCGATGGCTGAGCAACGCTCCGCCACGCTTCGCCGCTTTTTTTCATTCAGGGGACTTCTGAGCACTAACAATGCACCACGCCCCTCGACATAGCGGCCAGATGAAACCTTAACATCTCCCTGAGACGAGATTTTGCCGTGTCAGCACCAGCCGTAAATTTGGGTCAATGTTTTCAATCTTGTCAGCAAGCGTCCATTAAATCGCAGGGTTTGTGCATGTTTCCAGCAAACCCTATGAACTATCTAGCTGGGTCGGGCTTGATAGGTCAAAATCCAAGGCCATTGGAAGAACCTCAAAGGAGACTTTCACTGTATGTGCGCAATCGCAAGCTGAAGGAGATATTGGGCACCACCGAAAACATGCGCCTGGAACTGCTTGTGGTATCACTTGAAATCTCCAACCTGTCGTTATCATTGCAGCTTTCGCGTGCGATCTATGGTCTATGAACCAAGTCGAAAACAGCAGGGTGTGTGACAAGCTGTCTGATGCTGCCAGGAGTCTGTACCGGGCTATGCCCGGCCTCTGCGGCTTGCATAGTGCTACGAAGTCCAAGTGAATCAAGCTGCACGACAGTTCCAGAGATGCTCTCCAATAGGCTTGTGGCTTCAGCCCAGCGCCCTACGCGGTCCATCCCGTCCAATGCGGAGTTCACCACCACAAGACCAGGTTCTATGCACAATGCCCGTCCGAAAGCAAGCACAAAAAGACCACGCTCCCACTGCTGACCCTTGCTGCAGGCGCTGACGGCGCTTCCGAGCATGGGCAGGTCAACCCCGATCAACGCTCCAAGCTGGAAGAGCCCAAGCACCTGCTGCCACAAATTAGTGGCTGCTAGATCCACGTCTTCTGTTGCTCCTTCGCATGCTGACATGGCAGCTCCGATGGCGGGAGCTGAGGTCAGGATCGACATCCCGCGAGCTTTTTTAAGCAAAGCCAAAGTATGGCTCCACTGCTGACAGTTGCCAGCGGCAGTGATTGCAGCTCCAACCGCCGGAGCGCTTGTCTGCAGCTGAGTCGCGCAAATTCTCTGCAACAATTCACATCCGAATGTCCACTCCCCGCTCCGTTGGCATGAATCGAGAGCTGCGCCAAATGCTACAACATTCGGTGCGACACCGGTAAATGCTCCCATGCTCAGCGAACCCACCGCACCTCTCCAAAGGCTGCAAGTGCTGAATACTCGTGACGTCGTCCCATATGTTACTTGCGTCGGTTGAATCTTTGCTCTTCGCATCATTGAAATCAAAGACCAAATTCCGTCCGCAGATCTGCTCCCTTCGAACAGGACCAGTGCAGAGTTGAAGGACACCTCATCTGCTCCCACTGAGCTGGCCGCTGTGCTGAACATCTCCAGGCCAAGTTGCCATGACTTTGACAAACAACGGCTGGTGGCACTAATAACCATGTTGAAGCAGTGCGTGTCGGGTTCCGGGCCAGCACCACAATGCATTGATTGCAGGAGTGAGGCTGTGTCCCTCCATCGGCTGGCTTTGCTGCTCGTGTCCAGCAGTGAACCCCAAGCAACCAAACTCAGGCGAATGTTGGCTGCCTGTGCACTCTGCAGCAGGCAGCAAGCTCGACCCCAGAAACCTTGTGAATCCGCAAGCATGGCGCATGTGACTGCGCCTATTCCAAACGAAAAGACATCTACTTCCATACCCAGTTGTCTCAAATGACAAAGATTCCGCAACGCCACACGCCATGCCGCACGAAGTCCCCACGGGCTATTGCAGGCACTTGCAACCGCATTGTAGCCAGCTTCATCGAGCCGTATGCTGGTTTTCAGGGCTGTCTGGAGCAGTACTATTGCTTGCAGCCATTGCTTGGAACGAGAAAGCCTGCCAAATCCTTGCTGGACATGAGTCTGCTTCAATTCAACGCCCAAGTACGACACTGCATGCCTCCAGTCATCATTCTTCCTCGCATGCCGCCGTGTACGACTGCAAGCTTTGGCTGTCAAAGGCTGATCGAAGCGGGCTGGCGCTGATGCTGGTTGAACCTGGCACCACGCCATATAGCTGACCCGAGCATGAGCGAGCCTGCATGCTGACACAGCATTATATCAGTATGGGCTCAACGAAAACAGTCAAGAGAATGAAGCTGGCTGGTTCTTGTTAACTATCAGCCCTGCTTTCTTGCTGGCCTTCAGATTTGCTGAGCCGAAAGCCTTCTAATGAAGGCTGCGCACAGTGTTTTGGATCCCATGCCATCTCAAGCAGCGTGCATAGCCCCTCGGGACAAAGCTCGATAGTGTTCAAGCTCTGACGCCGCTCCACCTGCTCAGAAAGAAAGGGCTGACGCTGGGCTGACCTAATAGAATTCAGGAACCAGCATGTGAGCCCCAGTGTCTGCATTCAAAGGGAGTAGGCGCTGTGATGATATCAACTTACGCATCTCTCTGCACTATTTACCAGGTTTACTGTTACGGCCTTGACTGGGATTGAAATGTCTGCAGGTGCAGCATTTTCCGTCAGCTGCTTACTTCCATGATTGGCTCCGCTTTGCTTGCTGCTTCAGCCTTTTCTCGTTTCAGCTCCAAGATCCGCACCCTTAACATGCATAAAGACAGCAAACAAGTCTGCTCTGGTGCGTCTCTGCCTGCTGAGGAAATGTGAACCCTGTCCTTGGTTCAGCCCAGTACTTCACTTGCAAAGCTTGAGGCAAATGGGACCGCACTGTATGGCTGGACCGGAGAAGGCAGCATTCTCACCTAGGACTTCCCAGTCAGCTCATATGCAACTCAAATGTCTCCCTGCCCGCCTCGCATGTACTCCACCGGGAAGGTGATGCGCAGGAGTGCTCGAGGATCACACCTGGGTACTTATTGACTTACATTGACCCTCCTTTCAGTTTTCTGTAGTTCGCATTGTTTTTTACTTGTCACTCGTCTGTTTTCCTTCCACGGCATGTAGCTGGCGTGCTATGGTCTACCTGACGGCTCTGTACAAAGAAAGCCTCCGTCACGGTGTGGACCACGGCACACCCAACTAGCACACACAGGTTGCAGGTGTCCCCAGGCTTCTTGTTAAGCGAGCTGCACTGACTTTGAGAAGTTCGCTGCATGGGGCAGCCACTGTAGTGGCAGGAATGAAATCCGTGGCCTAATCCAAATCGATCTCAACAGAGCTGTCCGTGGATTTCAGGATGTTTGCGAACGCCTGGGACGGAGATGTCTCGGCAATGGACGGTCTTAGTCCCTGGCCCATCTCTGGACCTTCACCTCCCGTGATCGGGCGTAAGGCAACACTTCTCGCAGGTCCCTTGGATCCACGACCCCGTCCGCTGCCACGACCCTGCTTGGTTTGGGTGGCTTGCATGTCCGAAGCTTTTCGCTTTCCCAGTCTACCACCTGCTGCTTGCACAGCCTTCTTCTTTGCTGCAGCCTTAGCTTGGGCTTGCTTGGAGGCATCTGTTGACAAGGATGATCCATGCGAGCTGGCGCTTGAAGAACTCTCTGATGAAGATGATGAAGATGAGCCCGAGGATGGAATGGGCGGGGACGCCTGCGCAGATTCCGTACTAAGAATATTCTATGGGTGATTGTTGTTGTAAGTTTTCACATGGCTCAGCAACCTTAGTTAAGTCAGTTGTCTGCTGCCATGCAAATCTGTTCGAGCCGCAGAGTGCCTGCAAGTCCCAGCCATCTTCCAGCGGCTCACCGCGGAGCCAGCGTCGAATTTCTGCAAGCTGAGCTTCTTTGCTGCCGTGGCAGCCTGCTCGCTGCGGAATGCTAGCCGCAACGTTTTGTGACAGTTGCAGACAGTGTCGATAGTTGGCAGCCATGGCTTCCAAATGCACCTTTTCGAAGTCTGTCCCTTCAATTGGCCCGCTATGTAAGAAGTCGCTTCTTCCCGCCAGAGTTGAGATTGGGTTGGATGTGAGGGTAGACGATTCCACACGCTCGTATTGAACTCCAAGCACGGACTTTGTGCGATGCCGACTCATGCGCTCCTCAACCGTGCCTTCGTGCACAAGGACCTCGCTGCAAAAACATGCGTTGTTCGATTGTTGTAAGCTACTGGAAGCTGGCTGCAAAGAAACATCTGAGCACGAGACGTAGAAAGTCGGCCGGGCCTTGGACTGCATTCTCATAGGTGGGCGTGGCAGGCGTCTAGAAAACATGACCAGACAGATCAGTTGTCAGATTGCAAAGCCCAGACAAGAGGCTCCAGTTGACTCCCAGCGCTGTCGCTTGATGGGGCCCCATCGCAGCAGCCTTCCTAGCCGCTGCTGCTCTTGTCTGCGGCTTGCGAAGTGGCCACCCATCTGTATCATTACCTAAGATGGCATCAGTTCAAGCCTCTTGGGGCAGGGCAGGATCTCAGATTGACGAGGGCCTCCCAAACTCAATCAACCACACGCTCTGCATGAAGCTAGAACAGGCATCATTTGAGTAAAAGGTCTAAAAGTGCTGGTATATTGCTCTGAAAGCTGAGTGTGTAGCGGCTGCTACTGTGAAATGAGAAAAGGGTTAACTCCCTGGGGAGAAGTGGGTTAGCACAAATCAGACAAACACATCATGAATCCGCGGCTCGGACAACTCGGGGAAGTCTGCACTGTCATCCAAGACGTGGGTAGCAACCAGTGCTAGGATCTTCCTTCGTCGAAATCGCTCCAGGTAGTCCTTCATCTGGGCAGCGGGAACAGACCCATCCAAAGGTATGATGCCGAACATGGAAGCTAGAAGCCTTGCTTGTTCACACCGTTCCACCGTGATCAGCATGGATTCGCCGGCATGCTTTGCCAGCAGGTGCTCTAGAACAACCCACTTCTCGCTTGATAGGCAAACTGCCGCTGCAAGCGGCTGCCTCTTGAAAAGCTTGCGCCATTCCCCCACTACCGGCACCGACACCTCAACGCATCGGACAGGGGCGAGAAAGTCGGGAGCCAGGTTTGCAAATGTTTCACGGAACACGCAGGTGCCAAGCAGTGGCCAGGGTACGTCACCCTCCCCCTCCTTTGCAACTCCAGGAGCACCGCTCTCGCGGAGCAGCGTGGCAGTGAGGCCAACAAGTCTGCGACACCTTTTTTTCTCAAGCAACGTCTCCAAAAGCTCGCTGATCTTTGGCGCCGGCACCATGTGGCACTCGTCTGCAATGAGCAAAGCTTCAGACGAGGAGCGGAAGCGAGCAGCTACTGCTCCTCCAGCATCTCCATCCAGAGCTCCTCCTTCACCAATGCCGTCATCTTCCCAGCTCAAGGATTTGGGTGTTTGGGATCGGCGCTTCTCCGACAGCATGCGATGGTAAGTCACCAACATAATCCGTGAGCTTCGGAGCGCCTGAGCACCGGATGCACCGGCTTGACCAACCTCCAGCGCACCCAAATCCCAATTGCAAAGGAGCTCCCGAGACCATTGCCGCACACCTTCACGACGCATACACAGAACAACGACAAGACTGTTCGGATGGTTATCCAGAAATTGCGCAGCAATGGCTGCCCCCACCCTTGTCTTACCAGCACCGCAGGGCAAAACAACGCAGCAGTTCTCCGGAGAAACTCGCTCGACTGCTGCAACAGCCTCTGCCTGATAGGGCCGTAAGGACGCCATCTTTGCAGGCTCTTGAAATTCAGAAATTTCATCCTGCAGGCTGCTCTTGGTGCCCTCTGGCAGCTGCTCAGCATTTTCAGATTCGTGCGAACCTTCCGCCGCTTTGGAGAGCTTCCACTCTTCCCATGCAAGTTTGTCACTCTTTGACATGCGTTTTTCCTCGACCCTGCCGAAAGCCACCAGCTCCTTCTCGCTGGCGCAGAGTGCCTTAGCTTTTGTTGCGTCCCATATGTGAACTAAGCTCAAGCGAAGAGTGGTCCGAAATTCTGCGTAAAGTCTAGACCTGAGCACTGCTGATCTGGATAGCTTGCCCTTCCTGAGAGCATGCCACAGCCCAGCACTTGCCTTTGCTGCCGCGCAGAGGACTCGGATGGCCGATGTCGGTGTATGCAAGGCCACAGCCAAGTTTGCAAGCCGGTCCGCCAACCTGCAGCTTGAACAAGCAAGCGTCCATCCTATGGATTTTGGGACATCGCCCTCCATGTGCTGTGTACGCGGATGTCAAAGAACACGCGCGGATACGCGCGGAATCTGCAATGCATGATCCGAGCTCCACACCCGTCTGGCTCAACGGTCCCGTTCGCCCAGTGGAGGGCCTCGCAGACCTGACCAATCGGGCAGATCCAATTTCATCCAGGAAGCAAAGTTGCAGATTGAGCCGGCTTCTAAAAAAAAATATTCGGCTGAAAGAACGTCGTCAGGATACCTTCTTACAACTGTGCTCAAGCCTCCAGTGAAAACCCGTGCAGGCTTTGTGTTTGAGAGCGACATGACGGGATGAAACCGCGTAGCTTCGTATGTCTGCTCACTTAGGACTTAGGCCAAGCCAGTTGAAAGCATGATGCTTGATCCATCTCTCACGACGTGTGTGGAGTGAGGCAGGCCAGGAAATCAATTCAACTTGGACCTAGCTTTTGTTCCACGCATGCGCCCTTTTAAGCCACAGGGCACTGGCTCGTAGTGCATGGGTGGCTCGACGTCCAACTGGCCCAGAGTCAAGCTGCATTGCCAGCCTGAGATTGAAGCGTCCGACAGGGACAAACGTGAATTTAGAACCAGACCTCAGCGACCGCTGCCTATCATTGCAGACTTGGAGGCGAAGACGTGGCTTGGTCGTGAGTTGGCCACGCGAACGCTCCACTGGAGCCCTGACCGACTAGCGCCTGGTGCATAAGTGCAGAAGCTACAGGACGGCAACAACGAAGGCAGAGAGCTTTACCCAAATGTCCAAGGCACAGCTGCAGCCTCAGCTTGGCGACGAGCCACTCTGCGTGCTTTTCCCGGAGCTGCAAAGATGCCCGAAGCCCATTCCTGGACCTCAGCCAGCCTTGGTCGACAGACAAAAACACCCAAGTAACGAACATAACAACGACTGTGAATCGCTCTGCCAGCGTTACCAAGGCTTCGGCTTCTCCTGCTCTTCAGTGGCCAGCGGCATGACTATGCAGGAATGATTGGCGCAGGTCGTATGACAAAGTCATAATATAATAAGGGTGACAAGTGAACCGCGGAGGTAAAACTGGGTTTGCGTGTTTTGCTCGAAACTTGTGCTGTCGCTACGGTGCGCAATGTCCATGTGCTGTCTCCACGCAACCAATACATGAGCTACCTTCTTTCATGTGATGACATTCATCACTGTGCAGTCTTGCGACATGTGGGCAAACTGGATTGACAAAACCTCTCGCCACTGCAAATCCAACTTGGCCATCCGGCTGCGTGGCTAAACGCAAGGTGACGGTCACATAGTTCTCAATGCTGCTTACCTGAAGCATGGAGCTAAGCTGCACAGTTCCCTTGCCATGCCCTGCACTGACCTTTGTGTTCGAGGGCACAATGGAGTCCACGGAAACGATTCCGATTAGAGAGACACCGGGCCTTGCAAGCCAAATGGCCAGCAAGCTCATGCAAACGTCAAAGGCAAAATGGACTGTCCCAGGACGTCTCAGGTGGAAACACCTGCGGCTTCTCGTCTAGGACTGTCTTTTCACCTTGGAACTGCGTGTCAAAATGGGCGGGTAGCCTTTGTTCAATCAGTTTGCAGTTTCCATGCGCTATACAAACCGTCCAGCGAAGCAATTCTTTCCCTGAACGCCCAGAATCCCAAGTTTGCTCGAGGAGCCTGGCTCAGGAGCGCGCCCCCACAAGCCCGCCCCCGCCCCCCCCCTCCCCCTCCACACGCGCGCAATCTTGGACACTTGGAAGGACGCCATCAGGCAGCAAAATGCTGGCCAGGAAGTTAGCAAGTTTCTGACCCTCTTTTGCTTATCTTCTTCTTCGCGCTATACCCACCCCTTACGGGTGAGTCGGGGTTACAACCCGAGCCCAAATTGTCCAAGAGCCTGCCGTCGGTGCTGGCGAGGACCGGAGTACTGCGAAATCAGGAGCCAGCCCCCTCCCGTCTTCTCCCCCACCTCTAAGAGCACGGGTCGCCTGGCTCCCAAGTAAAGCTTCCTCCCTACTCTAACCAGTTGTGAAACTTCTTTCGCGCCGTCTTGCATCCTTCCTCACAAGTAAAAAAAATAGCAAAACTCACTTTAGGATGCGTTTGCGGGAAAATCTACATGTAAGTTCTCAGCAAGATTTCCTTCAAAGGCTGAGCACTCGCAAGGTCAAGAATGTCAAGATGGCAAGCTTTGTCCCAAGCTCACCATGGGTAAAGCCCCACAACAGAAAATAAAACACATCCGTTTTCTACTCCCCATCCCTTATCCGGTCTGTGCCAGTGACCGTGGAAAGTGGTCGCCGGGAGAAAGCCTGCAACAAATGACTCTCCCTTCTGGAAAATTCATCTCATGTGTGGAACATAGGCCGAGGAAGGTTGGAAGGTGGTCATCAAACGAGCAACCAACCCTACCCCATGCATAATTCACTCTCCCCTGCATCTCACTGCCTGCAATGTTGCTATTCGCCTAGCAGCCCTAATTGCAATCCGTAGGTCGGATAAACATTCGGTCGCTACGTGCAGCTTTGTACAACCGGCTTCCCACGTTCCTCAAGTTCTAGTTTGCTGCCTTGCTTGAATTGTAAACTGCATTACCATCTTTGGCCCTTAATGTTCCGCTCCCGGCTTCCAAGGTATTCCAGAAGTAAGTTGTACCCCTACGTCCCCCTTGGTCACTGGTTGAGCGAGTTAGTCTCTATCAGGATGGGTTCGTTAGCTGGTCTCTCCACCAAGGCTTTGCTTAGCGGATCTCCGGTTTGCATGCATGCTGAATTCCTCACTTCGCGTTTACCTTCCACTTGCTTCCTTTGTCACACGATGTGTTCAGTTTGTTCGGTTGGTTTTTGCTATGACATCTTCGTATTGATTAGCTTTTCAGCAATTTTCACAGTCTTCCATTTCCATGCTTGCTATCCATCTCTCATCACCTTAGTCTCGCCAGCATCCTTTCCGTTTCAGGTATCGCCGCAGTTCACTGAGCATGGGGGACTCCTTGTTCCCCTCGTACACGTGTTGTACTCTCCACGCCAGCTCTCTCACATCCTCCTCTATTTAAATGTTTCCTTCATCGTTCCCTGTCAAGGCGTCTTCATCGTTTAGCTTTTTGTCTTGGGCCCTTTTCCCAAAAACATCACCACGTATTCCAGTTGACTTGTCTCCAGGTCACTTTCCTCGCCATCGATGATCTCGCTTGGCCTCTGACTCTTATTGTTGTCTCCCCTTGCAGCCTGTCTGGCCTGTCTAGGTACCTCCTTCAGTTCCGCCGGCCTAGTGTTCCGGTGCCATCGTTGCAAGGGTTGACTGAGGTGCCCAAAAAACATGGACCAACCCACACGAGTCCAAACCACAGTTCGTCCCCAGGCTACTCCCACAAGAGTCGAGAAGGCTTCAACCTCGTTCCGGTTCCAGGTGGCTGCAATCTCCGCGGTGGGGGCTTATTTAGAGTCCCCATGCAGGTGCTGTCCCAACAAATCCGAGCTTCCTCCGGGCGCTTGCCTGCACACCCGCTCGATCTAAAATGGCCGCGGTTGTGAGGCCTCAAGCCTCCCCTGGTGGACACACGTCCACCTACTCGCGCGCAAGATAGGCCGGTGCGGGGATCCCCCCCCTCAAGGAAAGGCAAAGCAAGGAGACTTGAGCCAATGGCTACGTTTGCTGATCTTTTTTTCTTCCTTTCTTTCGCTCAGGCTATGGAGGCGAGAGGAATCTCACCTCCGGGCTTCAATGCCCAGCCCCAGACTCTGTTAGTAACCCTTCGTGATTTCAGAGTGGGGGTTTCACTTCGGGGCCCAATGGAAATCGCATAGGGTATTCATATTATGCCACCCACGTTCTGAAATTGGCCGCAAGCCGCTTCCTTGCGGGGTGAGAACTTGCCACCGTTGACCACATTCCTTTGCCGAAAGTACTATGCAGGCCGGAAAAGACTGGTTAGTATGCTGTGAAGTGGTTTGGTGGCTACATAATGGTTGCCAGCTGGTGCCCACTGTCATCTTAGAGAGGGTAATTGTGGAAACAGCTTATGGAGGACTGAACTATTCCTAGATACCACTTGTGGACTACTTATAGGTAAAATTTTGGCAGCTGGCTCGTTTGCCTGGAGGTGTGCACTGTCATCATTGAGGGGGTAACTGTAAAAACCAGCTTATGCAGGATATCTCTGCACCCTCATCTGCACCCTTCCTGGCTTCCTATTGGTGTTTTGGCCACATCATTGGTGGGGTAACTGTGCAGACAACTGTTTTAACTGCTTCCCTTTGTAGTCTTGGCCTCCTTGCAGAGCTATGAGAACAGTATGGGTCTTGCCAATTTCTTTTGTGGGCCTTTGGAGGAGAGTCTTCTAGGGATGAAAGGTTGAGGAAAGTGCCTTGGGTGGAACACCATGTATATTTGGCTTACCCCTCAAAGTGTGAGACTTATGTCACGGTTGCCTGAAGCTCAAATGATCTTGCTGTAGCGCTCAGTTCTTGCCACGCCCGTCGCTCTTCTTGTCGTCCGCGGTCTTGTCATCGTTGCCCATGTTGCTTTCCGTCTCCATGTTTGTCGGCTCGCCTGCTCCTTGCGTATCGTTTGGCTGCGTCATCAGTGGAGATGGTGCAAGTGGGGCATTGAACAGGTCCTCCACTGTTCTCGGCGACCTGCTTCTGTGCCTTTGTGGATGTGGTGTCTGTGGATTGCCCAGGACCCACCATGGCTGCTGCGTGGCTTGTGTTGTCAAGTTCTGCTCCGTGCTTGGCATCGCTGGTTGCGTGCTTGGCATAGTTTGTGGTGGCTGCTGCTGGTGTGTTGCTGTGTAGTCCGGCATGGTTTGGTTGCCAATTGGATTGGCTGTGGAGGTTGGCCCTGACTTTGCGCCTGTCCTAGCTTCCGTGGGTTGGATTGGCTGGTTTGCTTGGTTTGCATGTATGCCTAACACCCACCATGGCTGCTGCACTTCGGTTGGCAAGGGTTGTGGTGGTGGAAGTGACTGGTGAGGTGATGGTGGTTGTTGCTGTTGCCCATCACTTACTTGTTGTTTTTGCTCTCTCTCGTGCTGTGCTGGCATTGGCCATGTTGTGTCTCTGCTTGGCTGCTGTGTTGTTGTTGCTGCTGGCTTGACCCCTGCTGTGGCTGTGCGTCCAGCTCTGCATGGCTCTCCGATTTTTGAGAATCGATTGTTATAACATCATTGTGGTGATGTGTGCGATTTGGTTGTCCAACTGCATTCGTTTGCAGTATCCTGGCTGTGATACGCTGAATCTGTGTGGTGAGGGCTTGCGCAATCTGGTAAGATAATTGCAACTCCTCATATGTGGGTGGTGGTATTGGTGGAGGGGCCATGTGTTGTGGTGGTTGTTGTATGCTGGCTTGGGCTCTGACTTGGTAGCTCAAGAGGTCTCTTAGTACGGGCAAGCCGTGCTGGAGAGCGGTGAATGGGGGTTCGTGGCCCAGAATGGTGACAAAATGAGTGTGGTGGTGTATGTGGCTTGGTGCTGGCGTCTCATGGCTGCTGCTGCTGTTTGACTCCTGTGGTGGTGGTAGGTGTGGTGGCTGTTGGCAGGCTTCTGTGTTTCTTGTTGGCGGCTTTGTTTTAGCTGCTGTTGGCTTGGTTGTTTGGGCTTGTTTGTCGGGCTGTTGCCGTGGATTCTGGTGTAACTGTTGGGTTGCATCCCTGTTTGCCGCTTCTTGCGTGGCTTGCTGCTTTTCTGGATCCTCATCTGCTGCTGCATCTGCTGCTGCTTCGTCCTTGTCTTGTTGTGGTTGTGGTGTCCTGGCTTGTTTTTGCAGGTACTTTTGCATGTGCGCTTTCTCATCTATTCGGCACCTCCTGCTGCAGCTTCGTCGGCTGGTGTCACAGGGCTTGTTGCCTCTGTTGCTTGCTGGGTTGGTGGTTGTGGTTGTGATTGTGGTTGTGCATTCTCTGTTTGCTGGGTGTGGGTGGGTGCTGTTGGTGATTGTGGTGCTGCTTGTTGCGCGTCATGGCCTTCCTGGGGGCTGGTCCCTGCACCAAAGTCATGATAGTATGTGGTTGCTGGCTGCGCGCGATACGGCTCGAGTAGGAACTGGAGGTGCCCCAACCTGGTAAGTTGCCATGCCGGTTGTGAGGTGGGGAGTTCATCGCCTGCGACGTTGATGCTTCGCATTTGTGGTGTGGCGCGTTGCTTGTGTCCAGTTGGCCTGTGGGTGTGGCTGCTTGTGACCGTGCTCCTGCAGGATGCTGTCTACGTGTTGCATGTAGGTAGGCATGTCTGTTGGCAAAGTCACGTTCCCAATCTGGTACGATCCTCGGAGCACCTGCCGGTGCCCATGTTTCTGTCTGTGGTTGCCCGCTTGGTTGTGGCTTGCCCTGGGTTGTGGCTGGTGATGACGGTGTCTGTGTCTGGTCTGGCTCAGATGGTGTGGTGGCGGGGTTGGACGCAATTTGACATGCTCCTGCACTGTTGTCTGCCTGTGGTGGTTGCTGGTTTTGGGTCGCTGGTGCCGGTTGCGTCGTGGCTTCCAGGTGTTGGTGATGATGAGGCGGCTGCGCTCTGCTGCCTGTGTTGCGCTATAAAACTGGCTTGGTAT